TTTTTAATCGAGTTTTCGGGACAACTTTTGGGTCCAATAGCAACGGTTGCCAACAACTAAATAATAATAAGCAAAATAATGTATTATTATAATATGATTGTAATAAAATACAAAATTAAATCTACAACAAATAATATAATATAAAGGAAATTTATTCAAATTGCTTTACATAAAAATATAATAATTCTCAACTTTAAAAACGAAAACAAAATTATTACCTACTAATATAACCTCGACTATATATATACATTATTATTTATGCAGGTATCCAACTACGCGTAATCCACTGTACTCAGTTCAGAATAGTTTTTCGAATACAATAATGATTTTTCGCTGCTTTTAATATTAAATTTGAACATGCATACTTACCACCAATAGCTCGTATATCAATTATATTAGGTTCAAAGTTAGTATCGTATAAGTTTTCAATATAATATGAAATTGAAATATTGAATAACGACGAAGTTTATTAGCAAGTACAAAATGTGAACGCAATTTCTTTGGGTTATTATTATAATGGTGATTTTCGATATGCTTTACATTAAAATATTGTGTTTCTTTTATACGCCATAATTTTTGTACACTGCTGCCAGAAACGACGAGAGTATACAATTACGTCGTATAATTTATCGTATATTTTTTCTACTTTGGAAATTGAAAAAAATTATAGTGGTGTCTGTGTATTCGTCACGATGATGATTTATACTAATTATTGCGAACAACTACAATGTTTTTTAATGGAGGTATTTTTTAATTCCGTATTTTTTTTTCACTATTCATATAACCATATTTATATTGTGACAGTAATTTTTTTTTCTTGTAATAAGTAAATTGAATGCGACTAAAAATTGAAAATAAATGACTTTATTTTTCAATTATACTGATATACATTTTTTTTATGAACTTAATTTAAAATACTTTATAGCGTCAAAGTCGGACAGTGAAAAAAAATTATTAATTTATTAGAGAAAAAAAACTTTAAAAGTATACGACGAGAGTGTAAAGTGAGATATTTGATAGGGAATTATTTATTTTCTCTTTCTCTTCTAAACTAAAATCAATCCCTATAGCTAACTATACTCCGGTACCTACGTGTTATTTATATCGTTATAATTTGACACTAATCTGTAAATTAACGAACATCTAAAACAATTAGTATAATATATACCTATACAATATACTTCGTGTCATATATAATATTATAATATTAAATTGTTGTGTAATATTATTATCCTTCACGTAATTTCGAAAATTCCTCATGCGCATACCGTACATGTATAACTTCAATGCAATATGTTTGCGAAACATTCCTATAACATATATCACGTTGTGGCCTAACTTAGATTAAATTTAACGGAAGCGAAATGTTTAATGTTCCTAGTATATAACATACCTATATAATATACCTACCTGAAAACGTGCGATTTATTAACTTGATTTATTTACACGAAAAGTTAAAAGAAATTACTATATATTAGGTTGAAAGTTGTTCTCGGGGATATTGTTATTACAATACTTATAGGATTCAGTAGGGAATGTATATAGTCGATTATCTAAAAATATATTTAACAGCGACTTTTCTAAAGTTTTTACAGACCAAAAAGTCGAATGAAACAGTAGCGGAGAGTTATAATGGATATATAGGTATAGTTTATAGGTATTAAAGATAATTTTTTAAAAATATTGCGTTTGAGAAAATATAATAGAGCACGTCACGGGAACTTTAAAAATGAATTGAAACTTTCGTCGAAGTTTATAATGAAATTACATCATACCATTATTATATATTACTACTAAAAAAAATTACTTTTATATGCGGCTGCATCCGAGTTCCGTCCCAAGTATAAATATTTAATTTAAATGATATACTGATTTCGTTCCGTTTATATTTTGTATTATTTATAAAATGTTTAATTCAGAGGTTTAATCTTCAATCAATCGGTTAAACCTAGGTAAGTTGTTATTTAGAAATGAAAATAGTATTGATTTTATAAAATCTTCAGTCGTTATTGATGCGTGTCCGTATTGGTTACATAATAATTTATATTAAAAATGAATATTATGCATAGTAAAAGAGGTAAAATTTTAATTGCTAAAAACGAATATAAATTTTCTTTTCATAAAGAATTAAAAAAACCATATTGAATGCCTGGAAGACAACATGTACGAATTACGTATCTTACGACTAGATCGCATAGCATGGCATCGTGTACAGGCGCAAGATAGGCAAATCGTGCTTGACATTGGGGGGAAATATTTCTGAAGACAAACGAACAACTGCAATTCCATCAAGTAGTGGGGGAATCCACGATTGGGACGGTGTCGGACGATATTTCGTTATTTGAATAACGGAATGTTATACGGAATGACGAAATTATAACATTAGATTTTTAACGCGTGATGCCATGCGCCATGCCAAGACTTGCATATACAGCAAATCGTCGATTTATTAGAAAGCGCTACAGAACTGGCACAATTCGCGCAAAACCATGTTCAACCTGTAACAAAAACTTAAGCTTGTGTCGTTCCACGGCGACCACATTCACCGTTGTCCACACATGCTCTTATTAAAACGGTATTTGCCGTTGTTCCAGGTTCTTGAAATTCAAAGGATGGAGAAATTGTTGACAAAAGCACTTGACTTCTAGTTTGGTGTGATGATTTCAAAAACGAAAATTGGGAGTCAATCCTTAAATATTTTTTTCAACTCACTGAAAGTATTTTTATTATTTTACAATTTTAATGTCACATATTGCCTTAATGTGGAATTATTTTGTTAAAACATCAATTGATTTTTCATAAACCAACTTTAGGTAAAAACGGTTTAGAATGTGAAGAATTTGTTTCCAAGTATTTTTTATCAGTCTTATTTCTAGTGTAATGAGAGTCTATCATGAAAAATTGTTAATATGTTCTTTTATACATTTGTTAGCCTCACAAAGAATATCAGCCGTTATTACGGCTGATAGCTTAAGTTTTTGTACAGATTATATTGATAACTTTATATGCAAAATGTATTTAAGAACATTATTTTGTAAACTTGTTCTTCGTAGTTTGTACTTATAAGAAAATTCTTTCTAGAAAATGTCTTCTGAGAAGATTTTTTTTAGATAATAAAATTGTTTGCTTTGATTCAGAACTTTAACATATCTAGTGAGGAAATCGCACTTTCGATTTCAGTTTTCCTAATTCCAGTATAGTTTGAATAAATCATATCATTCTTCAAAATTTAAATTTTCACGAAATTTCATTTGACACGTTATTGATCAGGATAGACCCATTTTCTGGCATTTACGATTTGGCTCTTTCTGTTATTTAGCTTTTTTTTGGTTTTAACACCCAGCAAGTTTTCTTTATTCCTATTACTTTTTCTTTAGGAGTAATTCTATATTTAGTATACTTTTTATACTTGATTAAATAAAGATATATTATTTTATCACATTATAAATATTATAACAATTACCCATGGTAACTTATACAACTTACATAAATATTAGTTAAAATTATGTTGGCAGATCCAATGTTTAAAGCTCAATATTTAATATATTAACCATATGTCTTATCTTATTATTATTTGTAGGTAAGTCATATTAAGAAAAAAATAAGTTGTACATATTTTTCTAGTTTAGTCAAATTACAATGAGTACTATATTCAGTAATATACTATGCTAATAATGCTATCATTTTTATTTAAATAATACCATGGAAACATAATTGATAATATTAACTATTTCATAGTTATCATAATTGTTTTACAAAATGTATAAAATTACATTTTTATATCTATAAATATAAGTACTTATTATATATTATACATAAAAATCATGAATATGACAAGTTTACGTGTGATTCTTAAACTAATCAACCAATGTTGATAAGATGCTAAATGTGTGATTTGATCCAACTTAAAAAAATAGGATAATCTTCATCTTAATTAACGACCTCAATACTTTTTCATTTCAAATTAAATGTGTATTATAGTTCAAAGGGTCTGTTGCGTTTTCACATTTAAACCGCCGAATCAATTTTGATGAATTCCGATATAGAGATAGATGGGACCTTGAAGAAAAACATAGGCTACTTTTTGCCGTGAAAATAAAACTTGAATGAAATGAAATGGGAGATAAAAAAATTTTTAGGCATTTTTGGTACGAAAAATAAATCATTTTTATGGAATTAAGGATTACCTTAGTAACACGGACGAAATGAAAACAAAAATTAAAACAAAAAGTGAACTATAAAAAGAATTAAAAATGCCATAACAGTTTTAACAATTTAAAATAAACAGTCTGCTGCAGCCTTGCAGGATTATTATTGGCTTGAAATAGAATAACATGGATGAAAAAAAGCTATGCACTTTACTGGGGTAAGTGAAAAGTGAAAACACGAAAAACTTCATACTCGAATTTTTGTATTTTCTGGTACAGTTATTACTATACCAGTTAACTTTGAAATAGAGTTGAAAGAAATAGAGTTGAAAGAAATAGAGTTGAAAAAAATAGAGTTGAAAGAAATAGAGTTGAAAGAAATAGAGTTTATCATTAAAGATTTTAAACTTTCAAAGCCGCAGGAAAGGATGACATCAATTCAGAACTATTCAAACTGAGTGGAAATACCTTATGGCAGAAATATACCTTCTAGTGTATGGAGCAAATAATTTATGTCTAAGGATTGGAATATGTCCTATCTTTAAAAACAGATAAAAGGTAAAATAGATAATCGAAAAAGGTACTAAATTATTGTAGACTCTCACTACTGAAAACTCTATATAAAATGTTATCAATAGCTATCTTGAAATGTGAATATAGTTGTAGAGGACCAGTGTGGGTTTAAAAAAAGAAAATTCACTAGAGATCATATTCAAACACTTATGCAGCTTATGAAATAATACGACTATATAATGACTACCATATGCTGTTCTTGAACTTCAAACAGGCATACGATAGGTTACGGATCCCGGAGTGTCGTGTTATAAACGTTTATTACGTTTAAGGCTACGTTTAATTAGCCGTATAACTAAGTTCTACTCCCATTCCGAAATCGTTCATATAGCGATTCAATTTCGTACTGAGACTGACCGTGAAATTTTTCATGAAATTCCAGAAGACGCTTCCGGTGATCGTTCCGTCCGTATCTATTTGACCTGCGTATAATATATAGGATACACTGTGTTAATAATAATAATAACACACGGAAAACATTTTCTTTAGGGGCTTGAAACGAGTTAATTAGGTTTTGTAAATAATAAGAAATAATTTGGATTTTATTTTAGAGGGAGGAGGGAACGTTGTGGCGTTGTGAATCATTATATCTTCGTTTGGAAATGTTTTATTTTCAAAATTGTTGAACGAGTAAGTAAGTATTCATGACCATACCTAAGGAGAAAGGAATTTTCAATGGTGTATGTTAAACGTTAAAATATATATGTGTATGACTGTATAGTGTATATAATAGTCACCCACTCTCAACATTTTTCTAAGTTACGGTCGTGTATCTGTAGTCCCAGTTTACAGCTTAAAATCCGCCACTGTTACTAACCACTACCACATATTTATAGACCATACAATGCTTTCAGTTTTATTTTTCGTCCATCCATAGTTTTGATTACGATCTTTACAACATTAATTTTGAACTAGAATACAACTTAAAAATAAAAATACTATCACCGTGGTATACATTTAATAAAATATAAATTACTATTGCCAAATCTAAATCTAATTTTCGGTGAGTTTCGTATGGGGGGCATGCTGTAGGTGCTCTATAAAATATTCTCTGAAAAGGTCGTTTTGTGTGAAATGAGAATTGAAAAAATAAAATTTTAAAAACCGATTACAATATCATATTCTAGTATTCAGTATTAGCTTTTTAGAGGTCATAGAGACCCAACGGTGTATATAAATTTCATTCGAGTCCTTGATTCCTCTATCCTCAGAAAATTCCCAAAATTCTATCCCTTATTTCCGTTTTGCTCATATTTATCGATTTCTGGGTTTCTTCTTCCGAGAGATATATTTCCAGAATTATAGTTTTTTGTTGATTCGGATCTCGACGGGTTTCTCGAGGAATGAATTGACTCGGTTGCGCAATTAAAAATATTATGTAAGAGGTAGTTTAGGAGAAGTATGAATTAATGGTAGAAAAAAAGTCAAATGTTACTATAGATAAAAATATATATAGGGAAAATACGAGAAAAGTCATGTGAATTGTACTAAAAAATTGGTTAGATAAGATAATTGTTATAGGGAGATGTGCCTCGTGAATAGGAGTGAAATAGATGAAATGGAATATATATTTGCGTATGGGATAAATGCGATCAAAGAGGCAGATTAAACACGTCTAGGGAAATCGAGTTTCTATGTAATATACGTTATCACCTTTGACTTCGACTTTGTCGGTCATGACGATTCGGTGTGACCACATAGATTTTGACTTATTTTCACGCAGATCGTGCTTAACTTCCACACAGGCTGTTATATTGGAATTAATGCGTGCCATAACCCGCAAAGCTGCGGACAGGGAATGGTCCAGGGTGGCTACGTAAGTCATCGGACCTTTTTGATATCCTAGCATGCCCTCGTAACCTTTTAATACCCTGGGTAACCAACACAGCGACGGCTTTTGTTCGGCGGCGAATGTGCACTGGCCACCCAACATCCAGTGGTCAGACAACTGCCTCATGAAATTCATCTTAAATTCACGCTCGTTTGATTCATTCGTGGTTTTATTGGTCGACACCTGTATATTGAATTTGTCGTCGACCCACTCGACAAGCCCGGTAGCGGGGATAATCTGGGTTTTCGACCAATTCGCCAGCACATTGGTATTTATTTGCGTCCACAGATTACCGAACACGTTGTAACGTACTTTACTCGAGATTTTGCCCATTTGATCCATTTCCATTTCTAGTGTTGACCCATTCCAGTGTGACACCTTACCACTACCACTGTGACCGCTGTGACTGAAACATACCAGTAAAAAATAATTTATATCCAAATATAACGTAGAAGAATTCAAGCGTTTGAACAAAAGGAAATTTTTTAAAAAAAAATTGTTAACTAATAATTATTATTAGTTAATATAATATAATAAATAATTATAATTATTATACATAGGAATATATTTTTTTGTAATTTACATTATAATTGAAATTATTGGTAGTATTATGATTTTACTCAAATATTACTTACCAAAATATACATAGGTATAGTCTAGCTACTTATCAAAAAAAATGTACAATATTCTTGACCAAGATTTATTTCCAATCTGTTTTCTAAATGGGTATTTTTCAAATTTGAATTTTGTTATTGGGCCACTGTGTGGCCCAATCAATAACGTTAGAGGCCATGAGACAATTGTGTATTAAACCAAAATAATAAAAAAAATTGCCTAGCACCTACTTACTAGCACATATTTTTTATGTTCTAATCTAAGTTTTATTACTTTTAATAAACTGTAGTTAATTCTAATAGTAGTGTGCTTTTGTCCTTTTGGTCTAGTAGAAGTAGACCATTGTTTTTCGTATATTAATATTATCTATATATATTATACGTATATATTTATAAGTAAGTATATTAGTTCCTGTGTATGCGGCTTTGTCCTGACTGGTTGATTCAACACTGCTTAAACTGCTGTGATTAGAGACTTGATATTTTTACAATGGATAATTTTATATCGTAGGCATACACTAGAGAAGTATTTTTAAAAATTCCTACTCTAAAGAGTAGCAGCTGAATTAAAAATTAAATATTATTTGTCGATTTATAAATTATTTTGGTGACATGGATGATAATTTAATAATCACGAACCAGAAAACATTTAATAATTAACACCATTATTATTGTTACTATTACTATTACTACACTATTATATTATTAATATTTTCACGAAATTTGACATTTGTATACATCGCGCAATAATGGTTAACTTTGATAGGGATAGAGGTGGTCGGGTGGAAACGGGGAAACATCGTAACATACTGTAACATCGCATGCATATGTATGGAATTATGTGATATTACACAGTGGGTAATGTTAAAATAATGTTTTTTTGAAGCATTCATATAACACTAATGCTAAATATTACTGGGATATTTATTTAGCGACATTGCATAAACATTCCATTGAAAGTTACAAAAGCGGGACATTAGCAGTTGCAGCAATGTTACAGTAACATCTATGCAACACAATTTATAATATTACATGTTTCCATGAAACATCGCTGTAACGTCTATGGAATAGAAAATTGCACAGTAGGATTAGATAAACAGATAAAATTCAATAATATATTATTATTTCGATCAAGTATCCGCATCGATTAATTAAATCCACATTATAAATTTGGCCAACAGTTATTATTCCAGTGATCATCACCGACTTTAATAAAATTAAATAAATTAAAATAAAATTAATAACATTATTACTTTGGTCGAATCTTACTCGCCGGATTTTTCTGGAGCGTTGTTTATTTTGGTACTTGTAAAACCAAAATCGAATTTGTTTCTGTTCGGGTTTATTGAACTGAACATTCTGTAAGCCAACAAATTCTTGTCAAAAAAATGAGTGGTGCTATTAAAATGTAAGGTCCCGGTGAGTCCCGTGAAAACTCTCGGATGTAGAATGGTGTTGATGAACACCGCCTTTGTGTAATTTGGACATTTCCCTAAAAAAATGATAATTTCAAGTACGTAGCTATAAATAATTTAAAAACCTAAAGCCATTAAAATTTTGAAGTTATTTCATGCCCGAAGAACGCTAACATAATTTGAGGAAAATGTCAGGTATCGATTAACATGTGATGTACGATTATATTTCACTGAACTATCGTAACACAGACAAAAAAATCGATTTTGATAAAAATCGACGTAGCATCGGTATTAAAATACCCCGTCAATTCTTCCGAAGTTTTTTTTTTTATTTTTTTCGAATTTTTCTTATTGTGAAGAAAATTAGGTATGGAATTTAAAAATTAATATCATTGTTCTTGGCTCCGACTACATCCAAAATTTACTATAATAAATTATACAAGAAAGCTGTGATAAAGTATTATTTTTGATTTGTCCAAACGTTTCTGGTTGAACTCGAGAAAAAGTTTCGGGGTTTTTAGTAAAAAAAATAATACATATACATATCTGTATAAATATAATAATGCATATTCATATCATCAATATTAATCTTATCCTTATTATTATTTTTTTTTTCAGGTTTTCAATTATTATAATACAAAAATTGAATATTCTTAAAAATACACCCGTAAACAAATTATTTTTAACACATCTATGAAACATACGAAACGTCGAGTTATGGTAAGAATAATAATAGTAGGTATTAAACATTTTAAATCATTTGTAAATATACCGCTTTTTCGAATTCAATAGTCTTCTATACTTGTCCCATAGTTGGTATTAATATAATATATGCAAACGTCAGTAACAAGGCGTGGAAGAAATAGCACTAAAAAAGTTAATTTGTAGTGCTTTAATATGCACTTAAAGTTACCAAATAAGCGATATAAATAGTATTACAAATTGGAAAATATACAAAATAAAATTGTCCGATTATGTTGCAATACTATGTGACTGACACGATATTAAAAACAACCAAGTTATTAGGAGCGAACAGAATTTTCAATAAGGTCGAAGATAAGAACTAAATACGGCTCTTTTTTGGATGCTTTTTGTCATATTATTTTTAAATCAAAGAAAAATAGCTAAATTAGTAAAATAACTTACATGCATAAAAAATAACAACCAACAAATTATGTACATGATAACAGTGAAATATGAAACAAATTTGTTTTTTTACTCAAAATGTTCTAGGTGTTACTAAAAATATTAAACAAAAGCTAAAAGCTAGAAATTATTATTGGTTAGAGACACGTATTTATTTGTCATCATTGCATTAGTCTAACTAACAAGCGAGACCTAGAAAAAATCACGTTACATACAAAGTTAGAACATAAATCGTGCCGTTTAGGTTGAAATTAGATTAGTGTATAAATAAAGATGACAAAATTTAAAGAGGCGATAGTATTGTCACAATAGTTACAATGCACTGCCCTCGATAATATTTTCCCTTTCAAATTTTGCTTTTTGCGCTTCGATTTATATAGTCTATGTAATGTGATTTTATTATGTTTCGCTCGTATAATAGATTGAGAAAGAAAATACCGATGATATTGTAAGTACTCACTTTGGCCCAAACTCGCTTTGACATCCATTATGTGTACAAAGAAATCCAAAAAAATTAATATTACTACGTTTCACATACGAATTATGTACAATATTTATTCGATTAATGTTGTACAATTTTAATTAAAAAGAATAATTGTAAATAAATAGTTTACTTATGTTTTTGACGTTACTATGGTATTAATAATAAGAATTTTGTTCAATTTTGCGGAGACGTTTTGCTTTTATGTTAAAAAAAACCTAAGAAAAATTATTTTTATGGTTTCACGATTATTATTTATTTTTAATTTCTCTGCACAGTACATTTTTTATACATTATATACTTCCAAACTATTTATGAATGTAACCCAAAATTAAAAATAAATTACAGAGTAATTTAAATATTATATTACATCTGTATATTTTATACAAATTTTCTCATTGTAAATTTTAGTCTCGCCATGTATTTTGATGGCATAACATCGCTATCCCATTGTTTCGCGAGTTTTAATTCATGTGAGTCAAACATTTCCGATTTTAGCGACTTTAGTGATAGAATATCTATTTATTGTCAAACTTTTACTGATATCTTGTTCACAATGTGACCAATGAGTCCTTGTAATTTTTTTTCTGTGGTTGTTCTCCAGCATTATACTTTTCTTGTTTTAATTCTTCTAAATTTTGAATTTTGTTTTATTCCACCAATGAACTTTCATATAGTGGGGTGGTTTGCTCCTACACAGAATATTCAATCATTAAAGATACTAATTATTAATAAAAAAAAAAAATACTGACCAATAACAAATGTAAATACTCTGTGTTACCTTTCAATAGCTTCAACATTCCACGAACAACCGTTTCTTTTATTTTATTCACAGACTTTTGCATTGAATTTTAGATCATTGTATGATGGATTATTTTGAAATTCGTGGATTTTATTTTTTATATTGGCATAGACCTAAATTATGTAGGTGTAATTCGGTGTCTGGAGGGACAACGTTTTGCAGCAACGGTAATTGTGATATGGTTCAGGCAGATGTTTACTATCGCGGTTTGTCAAGTCATTATCATCTATGGGAGAGAGAGTAAATTAGATTAACGATTTGATCATTATTGGCTTGAGAGATATTGTCAAGATGATCTGACGCATTATAATGTAACCCGGGATTAAAATTTTAGTATTTGATGTATATTATTATTAAATAAAATTATCCATAATATACTTATATAATATGTGAATACCATCATGTAATTAATAATATTTTACTTTTGTATGCAATTGTATTATTATTTCCGATTTCAGCGAATTATTATTGTTCAATATTATCTCCAATTTGATACATAGTATATACTAATATGCTATAATAATAAAAGTCAATTTTTGTATTTTAAAAAATCAATTTGCAAAATATTCGCGTTAGTTCGAAGTTCGTCCAACAACTTACGGGGGCTAACTTCACTAATGTCACCCAAAGGACTAAAAATAATTATGCAGAAGTGAATGAGTAGATTCATCGTCCATGTACACCTAGAAGCCCGATTTTAAAATTTCAACCCCCAAAGAGATGGCTCACACTGCCATACAATATTTGGTGTAATAATAGGAACGCAAATTGAATTTTTTTTTGTTGATATCTAGGTTACCTTGGGGACAGTTGAAAACAGTCATTATTATAATCAATATTATTAGTCGCTACGGACAAGGAAGTGCATTTTTTATTTGATGATAAATTACCAGGCAACAACTGTTAACTTATTGAAATGGGCTTGCAGGAGTGTAAATGGAGAGACGACACGTTAAATTAATTTTTTTGTATTGATTTCGGATTTTTGAACAGAGTTTTTAAAAACTTTGCTTTTAAAAAGGTAGTAAAAAAAAAAAAAAATTGGATGGCATGAATTATTATCGCGGACAGCAATGGGAAACAATGGGAATTTAGTGAAATTTAAAACATTTTATCAAACTGTAATATTCTAACAACACAATGTATAAAATATTATAACGTCGTGTTGTAGTATAATATCGCATATTGTAATATTATTATGCTCTTATAGTGAATACCACTGCAAGGTTATTAACCGATTCATGTTTTTGGACTATGAGAAATACCTACCTAACAATGTAATGTATTTTTAGTACTATACATAATTATTTGCACGGCACGCAATTACAGGAGGGTTGTATTATTAAAGTTTTTGTTTTATTTTTTTTTCTCTGTAGAACAAAATTAATTTTATTACGATAACGTTATAATAATACGAGTATAAGTAATAAGTCCAAAGTAAATTATTATTATTACGTTCGATATTTTTAGAAAATAAAATTATACACATTTTTCAGAAATTCAATATAAATCAGGGGCATATACAAGGGAGAGGCGTTTGCTCCTATCGTCCCCTAAATTCAATACCTACTGAAATTCGTAATACACTTATACACGAAATAATGGAAAATAATAATTATCAAAGTGGGTAGAAATCAATTATTCAAGTTTTAAGCGAGCGAAATTATCGAAAAAATTTGAACTGCCGATCTATTTATAATCTGTAACACTGTTGATTATAGACATATACTTTTATAACTAATAACTTATGAGTATGATTAAAGTTCGAATTGCTCCCCCCTCCTGGAAGATGAGCTGAATACTCCCTTGATACAAATACAATTGAATTATATTTATTAATTATATTAAGTACGTGTAATTCAATATTCTATGAACAGGCATACCAATTAACTACGTATAATACTATAGTATAGCATAGAATAAAGGGTGTGATAATCAAGCCATTTTCTCAGTAGACTTTTTGTAAATTTTATTTTATTTATTTATTTTTTTTTTTTTTAATTATTTGTTGGAATTGTTTAAACTTTTATTTTAATGATATTTTTAAATCTACACTATTACTCATGCTTATATACTTAAATGAACGTTAACTATTGATTTTCAAATGGAAAACGTACAAATTCGTAAAAAGAATATTTCTCCACAAATGTTGGTATGCATGAACACTTATGTTGGTTATACCATTCATGGCGTGTTATAATACTGTTTAGAGCGGATAAGAGTAAGAAAGGGTAATACATTGATCGTATTAATAACGGTATTGGAATGCGATTATAGAGTTCCCTTATATCTTACCGTGATACTGTGATATGCAAGATGATATTTTATGTTAATTCATCGTTTGACTAACTTGTTTTAATATCTATTATATTATAGTGTGGATACATAGATTTAATATTATATTATATAATATAAGTTGTAAATATATGTTTTTCCTTAATATCGCGCGTATGCATTTTAACCGCGTAAAATATTTTAACGTGAATTAGTTTTCTAATACTGCAGTTTCCTTAATTAATAAAGCGAATTTTCCGGTACCTATATTCGTTTAGTGTAGAAAGAGGCCTTTATGCATAGCATCCAGTGATTTTGTGTAATATATGCTAGGCAGGTGCGTACCAACTACCAATCTATATTCAAATTATTTGGTCAGAGAAACGTTAAAATTAATTCCGCCAGAACACTAATTCTGAATCGTTTTGTATGAAATAAAAAAAAAAAACACAATATTCATTGGAAACAATGGAAAACACTCACACATATATATATGCCTATAATCTATATAATAGAATATAAAGGGTTGAGAATTTGGGTTTCCGCCACTCGACTGTGAATCGCAGCGGAAATTTTATCGATCCGAGGACAGGTTCAGTATTCGCCGTGTATACCTACACATAAACAACTGAAACTTTATCCGGACAAACGGAACGCGTAAATATGGAATCCGGACTGCGGTCCTCTCCTTGAACAATAATGATAGAGGAGTATTCCGGGAAAACAGTTAATTCCATTTATATATTAATAATAGTGTGTTCATGGCGTTTTGTAAGGACATAAAATCGACTCATTTAAATCGACTAGCATTATTATAATATAGTACTTTATTCTATATTATTCTATTGATTAATTAATTAATTTTATTTATTTATTTACAATAAACGCCAGGCGGCAGTTACAGAGATGGTCAAAAAATAAGAGTAAAGTATAAATGAATTCAACATCAGTTTAAATCTTAAAGCTAACACTAAAAACTTACACCGATTACATATCATAATATTATATTTTAATAATGTGAGGTAGTTAAAAATGTTTTTTATTACAATGTGATAAATTTAAAATATTAAACTATAAAAATAAAACGGTTACTACGAATTTATTCGGTTTAATTAAATTCCAAAAGTTTGAAAAAAAAAAAAACTGATGTATAAAAATATACTATAATTATAGATCAGAAAATTTAAATTGTAATTCATGCATTTTTAGGTTTATTTATTGTTTAAACTTTTAAATTGGTACTTATACAATACATTTATAATGTATATAATACTATTTTTTTAATCGTCAATATTTCAAATTGCATACAAAATATGATAAATTCAAATACAACGTGAGCACCTACTTATATAATATATTTTTATATTTTGGAAAATTCGGTTATCGGTGTTTATATAATCAGTTTTATAAACAATTATTCTAAATATAATATAAAGTTTTGTTTAACGCAGCAACTTTCAACAGAAGGTCTGTGTGACTGTGTAGTTTTGGCCGTTTCGCAAAACTGACTCATCCGATTCGCTATACGCCGTTCGGGTCGTCTCGGCGCCACATTTATTATCGAGTCGACATGTTTTGTTGCGTTATTCACTATACATATGTATAATATGTATAGGGTGTTAAAGGCTCGAATATAATTTTCATTTTAGTTTTGTGTATCAGTTTTCAAGATTTACTACCAAATTTTATACTATACGAAAAGTTGGTATAATAAATTCAAAAGACAGTATATTACGCACGTAAGTTTATATACCATTTGTAATATACACCAATATAATATTACATACCAATATCCTAATTTATTTCGTTAGACTTCTGTATTTTTTCGGCCAACTGCAGCAGAAATAGACAGCTGCTGCGAGATTAGGATACGAATATACCTAATACAATAAAAAAAGAAAGACGGACAGAAAAAACCGAGTAAAAAATTATTGCTTTCCAAGTAACAAAACACAATTTTCTGCTGTCCGTTAAACAATGCAATTTGAACGAACTGCCTAATGTAATAATAAATAATAATAATAGATATACATACTTAGTAGCGGTATAGTTTAGACTATAATATTATTGATATTTTATTTTATTTATTTTTTTTATTCACGTGAATTTCTCAATTTCACTCGACACGCGACTATAATATACCTATAATCTATATATAAATGCGCGCGTTATGAATGAGTTCCGTAAGTTTATTAAGTTTGCCGTTCCATACTTACGCGTATATTTTAAACAATATTGAAAACGTCCTTTATAAATTATAATATTAATATTTGGTTCGAAAACGCTCATTAATATTCTTTCCGCGCGAAATACTTTCTCGCAATGATTACTTGAGGTAGTTGGTATATGCGTCCTCGTGAGATATTATTCGATATTAAAGAAATTTCTAATCAAAAAAATTCCCGAGAGAGAGCAAGCAAAGCAAGGGAGCGAGGCGGATCTCTGGGGAATTTTATGTATTTCAATTTCACTTATCGAATTACTCTTTTTACGCCACAGTAATATCCGAAAATGTAATATAGACTAAAGAGTACTAATGTGTACTTTACTGTATATATACAGAGTGATACATTTAAGTGGTTATACTTGATGTTTTGAAAAGTATTGAATTTTCCAACAAAAATTTTTTACAATTTAAAAAACAATCAGCAGCTCTAAAATTGTATATAAATATTATTTTCTGTCACCTTTATTTTTAGAGTGAAACTACTATCTACTTTTGATTTCCAAATAGTAACCTATATTAAAAATTCTATACATGGATAGAGTATAAATTTAAATAAATTTTGATCTTGACATCTTTTATTTCCGTCAACCCATCGAGATATTCCACTTTTAATTTTAGATAGGGAAGAATTATAGTCTAGTATACCTATCATATTTTGTGTATAGCGGCATGGCTCGTAGCATTTGAATTGCGCTGCTATATTAGTAATTCTCACACTACCCAAATTTAAAAGTGAAATATGTTGTCAATGGGTTGACGGAAAAAAAAAAATGTCAACATCAACATTTATTTAAACAAATATTATAATAATAAAATCTATTTATGCAATTTTCAATGTAGGTTGCCGTTTAAAAATCAAAGTCGTTTCATTACCAAAAATAATGTCTGAACAAAATCAATATTTTTCGAAATATCGAGTGTAGTCACTCTTATATGAATCACTCTGTATATAGGATGTATAATAACATTTTATTGTGTATACTTACATTTTAGTCATTTCCGTGTTGGTTAACGCAGTGTTTTTTTTTATCTAATTTATTATTTGTTTCTTTTATTTTATATCTAGATATATTAGAAACAATGTATGTGAACCGTTATATAAGTTAAACAATATTGATTAATTTAGATATATTCAATGGAAATATTAGGTAAAATATTCAATTTATATTAATATATATTAATAAATTAGTCATTAAGTTATATCAGTCACACAACTAACCTTAATTTGAAATCTAGATGTTTACCAAGGTTGGTATTTTACTATAAGTACATTTAGCAAAAAATTATGACAGGTAATGAATAAAATGATCCTTTTATTTATCTAGAAAGTTTCTGATTATTTATCCTTATTATTTCATTTAGAATATAATTATTCTAGCAATTTTCTCTCAACTGATATCCAACCAAAAATATGATCTTTATACAACACTACATCCAGGTATAGGTGTATATGAGCTGATCATTTAAAATACGTAGTACAAGATGTCAGCTTTTATGCGGAAAATTGGCGTTCTGCACTTACTCGTATTAATGTGTACCTCGTTACATGATATCGAACATTGGAAATCGAGATAAATATGAAACCGAGTTCACTGGTCAAAAGTTGTCCTTCTGTGTTCGGACTTGCTCACAATAATAATATATAAAAGTATACCAGTGTAATATTTTCTTTTTTATATAATGCGATAGGTTCTCGACGTATATAATATCGGATATTCGACATAACAATAAGTACATAATATAGGTATATAATTTTATACATACACTATAGAATATGACGTATAAGGTACTCGATGAAGGACGTACGTGCGTTGGTGGTCGTTTTCCTGCTTGTATTTATATCTCTCTGTGAAATAGAGGGGAACGAAGAGGAAAGTATATAAGGAATATTATACTGTAGAAGTCGTCAATATCGCGTTAGCGAAGAGCAATTTCATACCTGAGGGGATCCAACCGCATAGTCGTCTCGCCCTTAAAACGTTTACAAGACCTCCGGGGATTTTTCGCGATGATATCGCCCAGTGCGTGTAATTTAATAATAAACGAAATACACGGGGTATATTAAATCGCTTATTTTTTTTTATTTTTTTACAGAGTTTTCGGCGGCGTTTTCTTCCGGCCGCCGTCCGCACGTCGCGACCATACAGACCGCGATGGCGGCGAGGATGTAAATTGATTTTCAATCATACGCCGCGAAAATATGCATTCCAACCCCCTCCGCTCTCCACACGTCGACGGTCCTACTCCACCGCCGCGTCATCGGCCCCCGAAATTAATGCGCTTCGCCTCTTTTCCTCGACTATATAATTTATTCCGGGTCGGCGTGTTCCTTATATAATCTCCCTACACATTCCTACATATACAACTCGAACCGTCTCCTTTTCGGTCTTCCTCGCTGCACGTCCTCCGCGTTCAGTCGTAAAACTACCCTAATACTATATTACTGCAGTAGCAGTAATAGTGAGTCTCACCGCAGCCTCCGATTCGTATTTTATCCACGTCATCAAATCGTGTCTCCGAACATTCTCGGTCTTATAAATTTCCGGAACAACAGCTACGGCCCCTGTATAATAAACTCGGGAGCTCGAGCCAGCTGCCCGCGATATAAATGATATAACATTTTCCACTCGGCGGCGAACGAGAGGTTTGCTGATCGCTGCGCGAGGGGAAAAGTATAAAAAGTAATGCGATCTAGGTTACCCTCGTCGTTTTCGGTCGGTCGTCGGGGGTAGCGGTCGCGGGCGTCGTACAGGCGCCACAGATGCCTTGCCGGTGGCGTCGCGTTGACCGCCGGTGGGCGTGGCCAACAGCGCGTCGGCGGCTTATCGAACGCGCACGCGGCGCAACTGGTCGGGCGCCCTCGCCGCCACACTGCCGCGGCGCCTCAGTACGTCGCCCGATGTCCGAATGGAAGGGTTTCGCGTAATCGCATGACCGTAGCGTCATATGGCTACACGACGACTACGGTGGCCGCTGGCCACCACCGCCGCCAGGATGGTACTTGTCGCCATCGTCGTGTCCGCAACGACCGTTCATCTGGCTGCCAGCCACAAAGCCGTCAAAGACAAATCGGGTAAGTTCAGTTTTTCAGAAAAAAAAAAAAAAAACCAAAATTTTCCTACACACCTAATCTAACATGATAATCTATTGTGTTTGTGTTACGCGCGCGGAAAACAGTGTTTTCCATTTTTCTACGCGGATTCTATTATTGTTGATATATTTAAAAATAAATACATTTTCGTATATAAATATAAATAATATGTATAATTTATAATATAAAATGCACTTTGGTTTTAAAAATATTTAATCTTTACAATTTCCCACGTCACTACCGTTGTCTTTCAACGATCAACGAATAAATTGTAAACCGTATGCCACTTCCCAACCAAAAGCCACGGTGTTCCCCAGGGCGCACAGTGCGGTGGTCAGCTTCACTCCCCTTAAATTGACGTTTTCGGCAAACAAGTCGATGATGATTAATACCGCTGCTATCAGATGTAGGATCACGGCTAAACACGACGAGTACAGGGTCTGAAAAAAACGACGTACATATATTTTAACAATATTATAACTTATTGGACAGTACTTAATAACAATATATAATACAATTTGTTTTACAATTATATAGGTGAAGAGTTGATATATTTTTTTTTTTGGGGGGGGGGGATTAGAATAATCTTAATATATTATATTGAGACTGGCTCATTATAAATTAACAATTTTGGAAGAGCTTTCGATACACAAGACGAACAGCAACTATATATACAAGCAATCTGTGCCAATCAGATGTAGTAGAATGGTAAAACAGACACGTTTTATAGAAAAAAAGATATAAAAATCATATATATCACAGGGACCCGTCATCGGCAGTAAAATTGACATCGTTTGTCGTATATAAAAAAAACCTATTAATCGTTGAATCTGCAGTCTGTACGATATTCTATAAAATATCTTATGTACTCAGCACCATTCGGTGGCGAATTCAGTGATTAATTTCCGAGAGAGAGGAGGCAAAATAATTTATAATAACACAAGAAAAAAGCATATATACAATAATACACTGTGTTTGGGAAAGGGGAAACGCTCCCATTGTCCCTTACCGTTGGATCCAACACTCAGCGGCATGCACAATAGGAGAAAGGTTAGGGGTTATATCCCTCTCCTCCATTGGTTTAAAAATATTCTGAAAACATATTGGTTTAAACATTTTATCTTGAAATTAAATATTTCAGCCAAGTTACGTGAGGTAAACGCTTGATTTATCGAACAGAAATCAGATTTTAAATTGTCATTGTCGGTTTAGGTATATTATCACAGAAGAAGATTCGACGATTTATTATTCTGACTATATCCCGTCTCTTTGAAAATTCCCGGGTACGCCACTGATAAGTACCTAAATACACATAAGCCGGTGAAGCCGGCGCATAATATATACTTGAAGGGGAGGGGGGAATGTACAGGATATTTTAGGGCCACCGTATGTACACATTTGTTGTGCATATACGAAATGAACAATCGGCCGGGCGATATTGATCGTCGCGGTTGTGTGTGTGCCGACCCGCTCGCGTATATTTTACGTCCGATTTCCCGTTACGCCGGTGAATATAATAATATACAAAGCCACCTTCCTCTTGTTTGACACGCGACTTTTTTCTGTTTTTTTTTTTTTCTGTTCGTGTTTATTCCCCGTCGTCGACTGTTCAACAGCCTGACAATGAATTTTCTCGCTCGATTATTCGTCATTTTCTATATTATTATATATATATATATATATATATATAGGGTCGTTATTATATACACCTATACCTAACCCTCTTTTCCGTGGTGTTAGTCACATATATACAATAGGTATAGGTATAATACACATCCGCCGCGTCACCGACGACGACGGCGTCGAAGTCTGCACCGGAACTGAATTAGTTGAATTATTAAAGAGGCAATTTCGCGTTTGAAACTTTTTTATTTTTTTTTTCCCGGTCAGAGAAGTTATTTATAGTATAAATAACGCGCAATGAAAAACCGTATAGGTATAAGTTTAAAAATCGTATACCGCGTACAGCGCCGACAGCTAAATAAAATAAACGTCGCATATTTTAAACGTGTTTTATGAATTCCCGCACGAAATATATTATGACTCGATTTTCGGACGTATACATGAATTATAAAATAAATTATAGATATCATATAATATAATATAGGTAAAGATATTAATGAAAAGACACAAGTATATACAAATTTTAATTATTATAAATAAATAAACGATAAAATAAAAGTTATTCGACTTGTTACCTACAACTTTAAATGGTATTACTTATGCAATGATGATAACAATTTTTGTCTGTCTGTCTGACAGATTTTTGACCTGTAGAAATCTAGCACCGTTCGTATCAACATCAGAAGTAGTTTCTGGTAGCAAATATTGTCTAGTCGTTTTTTTGTATTTTGTCAGGTCAGGTTATTTTATACTCCTTGTCGTTTTCTTAGTGTTTACGTAATGGTGAAAACTCGATAGAAAAACTTCGGAAAAACGGGAATGTTTAGGATTTAACTGTTTTTGTTGTTTCGTTTTTTTTTTATTGTTGTCAATGAAAACTAATTACCTGAGATCTGAAACTTTCACTTCAGTTATTTATAGCTATTTTATATTTTTAAACTTTTTTTGGTTTTATTATGTGTATACAAAAAAATGTAGTTTATTTTATCAGCGTTTTAAGTTCAAATTCTTTAATAACGAGTAATGTCAAATTAATTCAATATTAAGTTTGAATTTATTAATATGTAGGTTCATTATGTTTAACGGCACTTTGTTCAGAATCAATTTTCGTTTGCAACGAGTTATCATAGAGTACAGATTTAAATTAAATATTACCAGCTATGGTATTACCTGCTGGATTTGACAATTGCATAGGACATTATTGTCAAAATCAATATACACATCCTGTGTATATTCTACCTTCCCATCTTCACACTTACAATAGTGGTCATCGCATTGTATGAAGTACCTATGTCTGAAATTTTTTAATTTTATTTATTAGGTATGATAATTATAATTGCATACATGGTGCTTATGGTTATAATATATACCATTTCTGATCTCACATAAAATATAAATAAACTATTGTAAAAATAAAATAATAAATTAAATTTTAAAAGCAATACCTATGTCCTATATGTATGACAACAAATATGATTACCAACCGAAATGGTGTAGTTTATAAATACAATAAATAGTAAAATAAAATAAAAATTCTGAACTTTATAGTTTGATTGGCGAATAACAATAATAAAATCAATGGGAAATATATTTAACATAAAAATACGGTTTTTCGTTTTATTCACATAGGGAAATTTTCAAGGTATTAAAATACAAATTTCCGTAAAATAATAAAAAAAAAGAAATACAAATTTAAAAATCGCTTTCCGTCAGGAATAAAATATATTATGGTGTAGGATCATCTTAAAATCTTAATGTTAATAGAACAAGGGGCGAATTCTGTTAAAATGTTGGATGTTTAAAAGTCATTGAATATATAATTTGGATTTTAAAACTTTGGAGAAAAATCATTCGAAAATTTTAATTCATATAATCTAGAGTATTGAAACAGTTTTTTTCTTTTGTAAAGAATCAAATTAAATTTGTATTTCTTCAAAGAAATATTTTACTCACTCAGCTTTATTCATAATTTCTCCCTTTTTATCATTTTTTTAATAGATATAATTATGCATTTTATTATATTATATGTATAAATACATTCAATAGAAATTCAATTATATTTTACTATGGGGTGAATTTCATTTTTTTTTTTTTTTTATGTATCGAGGGGTAATTTTGAACATTTTATTTTTTGATCCTTGTCCCGAATTAAAATATTAAAAACTTTTATCACAAAATATGAAGCCTGTATAGGAAAAAACTTACATTTATTATCGATTTGCGGGCTAGATGTAATACCTATACATTATATTATATAGGTAGTTTGGTTCATATAATAAAATATTCGTAAAAATATTTTATAGTATACCGGTATAATACTATCCAATAATATCATTTAAGAGTTTAAGACCATCAGCAACGAATTTTCCTTCTACCATCTAATAATATAAAAACTTGCTCCCATCTAATATTATATAATATATTTACAGCTGCAAGTCCAGAATCTATAAAGTCTCTCTTGCCGTCCGGCCCCAATCCCCGGCAGTATTCGTTTGAGACACTATATTTTTATCCTCTAATCTAACCTAAGCTATTAATAGTCCAAAGTCTGTTAAAGCCCCTTTTTCCTGCGTTGGTATTACAACATAAAATATATTTATACAAGTATATTTTATATATAATGCCGCCATATTTAATTCTGTAAAACCTTTTTTGAAATACAAAAAAAGAAGGTTTTCTTTTCTTTAAAAAACTGATTAAATGGAAAATGCATTTTTCAACTATCATTTAATATATATTTTATTTCTTTCAAGTCGGCTAAATACATCAACATGTAGCTAAACTCGTATATTAATCAGGATCTGATATAATCAATTTTTTAAATTATGTATACGATATAGTAAATTAAAACTGAATACATTTTATATCCAATTTCTGCAGTAAGGAATTATGTTCAACTTGAAAAATTTTAGGATAAAATAAATACTGGGTCTAACAATGTACTGTAAATGTAAGTAATACACCTCTCGTCAATCGTTTTTGAAATATTATGGTATGAGAAAAAAAGCGCACAACCCTTCAATGTACTAAACAAATATTAATTAAATATGAAATATTATGTGTGGTAATGTTCAAGAAACATCAAGTTTAAAATACCTTTATATACAACTTTAACTGTTTAATTAAAGTAATACACTATATTTTAGGTATTTATACCCTATTAGCTAATTGTCATCGACGCTTTAGGGGACTCTAAGGCTCTAACACTTACATTTGTATTCTCATATCTATCTCGTACGTATAATATAGTGAAAAAAGAATTCTGAACTTCAACAATTGTGACTCTGGGTGAGTTCAGGACAAAGGGATCTGATATAGATTTAAAAAATTACAGTATTTTCTATGCCTAATAAACTGAATGATTTTTTTTAAATATTTGTATTTTTTAATAAGTTATTAATGGTTAAAATTAAGAGAAATTATAACACGCATAAAAAGGATAAAGAATGGAAACTATTAAAAAATCATTCGCGGTCATGGCACAGTAAATAATACTCTTTTCTTTATAAAAAGTATATTATTAATCCCTTTGCCCTAAACCCAACCAGGGAGTCACAATCAATGAAGTGCGGAATGATTTTTTGCCATATTTAATTACGCGTAAGATAGACAGAGAAAACAAATATTGGTATAGAGGCTCCTTAACCTATTTACTTTATTTTAAATACGAATTATTGGTCACTGCAATATTCGTATAACTGTTCGTTTTATACTCTTCTACAGTCAAGAGCTTAAATTTCGTATAGGTATCTATATAATAATCATTTATGGTAGAAAACGATTTAAAAAAAGATATATACTTGTACAAATTATTATATACTATTAATTATTAAAGGTAAAACGGCCAAAATTGACACGCGCTTATATATATTACTTCGTTGAACTTTTTTGACCTCGAGACAGTTCATTAGCGAGTCCGTATACTACTGCGCACACATATATGATACATATATATTGTGTTTTCAATTTAAATTTATGACAAAAACCCCGGGCTATTAACTTACGCAACGTGTAAACTCGAACTTTTAAACCACTAGGTACTTATATATACCACGTACCTACGTACCATCGGAAAGGTTATAAAAGCGGAGAGCGGGAATTAAAGAAACCTGCTGTAGGTTTTTTCTCCTGGGAACCATTAAAACCCATGTGGCGACAGACATTTAACCGTATACGTATATGTATATTGTAGGTAGGTATAGTTAGGTAGGTACGTATTAAATAAGGTTCCTCGTTGGCCTTTTAAATTTATTCAACCCCTTATAATACAGGACGATGAACAATGAACACTTTTTGTTTGTTTACCACTCGGTCAGATACTGGTTCCGTTATGCATATGCTCGTCAGGACGATAATACCGATTCCCACGTAACAGTACAGCGTTAAATACACGAATTCTGAAGTGATATTTGAAATGGTAATGTCCGTTACAAAGAAAAGTGTTACTATACTGCAAATGGAAAGGATCTGAAAAAAAGAAAAGATTAATTTCATTATTATACCCTAATAATTTTAGTATGTTATGTTCAAGTATTGTCTGTAGTATTGGTATATTGTACTTGTATAGTGTATATTGTAATAATATTTTTGTTTAAAACTACATTTTATACTATACTGCAGTATATAGGTACATTTTAAAATTAATTGTTCCTCCTATCACTCAAAAAATCACTAGATTTAAAAATATTCGAAATTCATTATGATATTGCTTATGCATAATAATACGGTTTTTATATCATGTACACAATTATATCGTATGTACATTTATATTATAAGTACAGTAAGTTCTATATAAATATATACCTATATTTTTTCAATATATGACGATTGAATTACGTTTAAAAAATAATTTAAAACAATATACATATATTATTTTTCTGGTACAATATGATATGCTAGCCAATATATAGTTATATTTATAACCGTATTTGTATAATTGCATTTTATAACTGTATAGGTTTGGTATACGTTAATAATTCGTTGAAAAGTGTTACGGATATTTTTAATGTACGACGTATACAGAGGTTATTTACAAAAAATATATTACTTTAATGAATGTGATAACGCCAAAAAATGTATAGATTCGTGTAAAATTAAAGTACCTATATAGAATATTTTACGAGACAGTGCGTGTATACAGTGTGTCCCATCGTGTACGACGGATTTTTCTAGCGCTGTTATATTATATTTTTTAAAATTTTTTTTTTAATCGGTTTGTCTTCAAGGAGCACATTGATTTGGAGAAAAATTAAATTTTTATTTTCATCCCCTAAGCAAAAAAAAAACTTTATTTAATAATTAATTTATTATATAATTTATAAAATAATTTGAATGTATCACACATTCACATCCGATGAATAATTTCTCAGTTATAGCCGTTTTAATTAGGTGTGAAAACAATTAATATTCAATAAAATAACACGTTCTGCGATTAGTAATTATAATCAGCATGGTAATTCTTTACCTTCTATTGAATATTAATTATTTTCACGCCTATATTTTCTAGAAATTAAAACTGCTATAATTAAGAAACTATTAATCTGATATGAGTGTATGATACATTCAAATCATCAGAATATTTTTTTTTTTAAAATGGCTATTTTGAAAATTTTCAAAAGTGAATAAATAAAAAGTTATTTTTTTGTCGTCCTCCCCGAAGATAAATTGATTGGAAAAAAAAATGAATATTAACAAAAATCCGTCGAACATGGTGGGGCACTCTGTATATCTATACGAGCATTACGACCTATAAAAGTAAAAGAGATAACCAGCTAACTGAAAATTATGTATAACAATAAAGATCGTTTTAACACGGATAAATGAAAATTTATTGTTATATACGCTTGTGACCAATTGAATCTATAGCCAAATAATTTTACTTTTATTCCTTCTACCGAGGTATATATACATACATATAATCAAATTAAATTTATATATAAACTAATGATAAAGTTTTAAACGCGTAATTTTGTTGTTTAAATAAAACTAAACAAAATGCACTATATTTTGTATTTTTACCTTTATAACCAAGATGTTTTCCAAGATAAAAAGCTTAATATTATATTATCGGTACTATAGTGAATAATCATAACATTTTATTATATCATTGTTTTTTTTTTTTTGAATTTCCTTTTGTTTATGCAAGTTAAAATTAAGTTTTTGATACTTTTTTCATTAATTTTACTAAACGTCCTTTATTGTATTTTGTTTCACGACTGCAGTAAACAGTTTAATAAATCGAACGCTGACATTTTTTTTACTTAATTTCCAAAATGCACACACATATTGAATTTAAATCTCTTTATACAAATAACAACTTATATAACTTTGCGTTGTTATCAAAATGTTTAAATTATATCGTATTGTAGAGAATGTATTTTATTGTCATTATATATATGTGCATTGTGTACATACCTAAAAATAATGCTAACAAACATAATTTACACAATAGTAGTGGCTATACTCATCAGCCCGCGAAGTAAATGAGACACTGCTCAATCAAATTTTTTTTAAATACAAAAAAATATAGTTATAGTTTATTTATAATAACATTTTTTAAAATATTTAAATAAATTTCGTTCGAAATGTACCTAAACCTATGTCATACATGTATTTATCGGTTTCAGAAAAATATGAATAAGTACCTACAAAATATTTTTAAATTTTCAAAATAATTACTAATAACTGAAACCTAAAAAATTAACATTACCAAATTTATAATAATTAATAAACGATAATAGCACGTTATTTTCTAATTATGATACCATTATTTTTATAATTTTCAAAATATTCACCACTTAAATATGGTTCACGAGCCGTCACTATATACAAGAGAATCATGTATAAATTATAATGCTACACGATTTTTTTCAAGTATTTTTATATATTTTATAAATTGCTATTTTTTATTGTGTGTGGCAAAGTTGATATATGGAAAGATTAAAAAATACACATGTGTGTATATATATATATATGAAAAAGGATGTCGACTTTCCCATCAAACCCTCATTCACTTTGACGCTTTGACCGTCGTTTATTATATATTTTGTCGTATTATCGGCGCATATATTGTTGTTCGCTGAAAAACGCATACCTATTAGAGCTATTTTCACTGCAATGCACATATTACCATAATAACTTTTAACATTTGCCCTTTTCTCTTGGTAACATCACATAATTTCCACAAAATGTTTCCAGTCGATATTATTTTAATTTAATTTTCAATATACGCCAGGTGTATCTGCAGGATTTAAAAATTGTTTATTAAAAATTGTTAAATTCTATTCGGATACCCAATATAGGACCTGTGTTGGTAATATTCCATGAAATAAGTTGACAATAAATATTATAAAATTGTACATATAAGTATTATATTATTTTTTTATATGAAATATTTATTAGACGCACGTTAAAATTTGAAGCATTTCGCGTTTCTAGTTAAATAGAAAAATATATTGAAATACAAGTGCTGGTGTTTGTGCAAAATTTTAAATATTTTTTTATAGAAAAAACTCGAGGAAATAATTTCAAATGCATATATTGAAAAAAAAAATAGAATATAATATATTTTCACACAAATATTACACGTACAGATTATTATATTATTTATCGGAGGTGTGTGGTGTTAGCTAGGTGTCTATACAATATAGGTCACATTTTTATTAGGGTTATAAATTTGTACGTGTATTATACTTATATATACCTATTCGGAAAGTAGGAAAATCAAAATGCTTCACCTTCTTTTTCATCGGAATCGCAAAGTATACCTATAGTACCTATTGCAGGATTTGATTCTTATACATACAAGTATATATTAAAATTCAGACTTTCAATATTGCAAATATAATATGTTGAAAAATAATCTGTTTTTACAAAATATTACTATTTTAAAGTTATACACCCAGATTGCATGCAGGTATTATAATATATGGTCAAATATGAAAGGAATAAAATACCATTTTAAATTTAGAAACTATATAGCCTTTAAAAAAAAAAAAAAAACTACCTATTTGTATGTATACGTTATGACTCTTAAGCAACTACCTACATATTATACTCGTACATATTATTATGATTAGACGACAATAGTCATAGTCATTAAAATTGTAAAAACGCTACAATAAACACGTCTTATACTCTTATCTTTGTGTATTTTACCACTTTCATCGTTTTAACATAAGGTGTAGGTACGAATAATCAATATACTTATTAAAAAAAATATCCTGCACTATGTAGAATTATTTTTATAATAATTTTTAGGTTGAATTATTTTTATTGCATACGAGAGATATTATATTCCTGCAATATAAGTGCATCATCGCTGTAGCGTATTATTAATTAGATTATATTCATATTAATCGCGTATATTACTCGTATATAAAACGATAACAACCACCGCACAAACGCCAAAATTTAAACTTCAATTTTTGTTCTTTTATTAAAGCTATATAAAATATTTAAAATTATATTTATGTAAATGAAAATCGTCTAAGAATAACAACGATGTAATATTTTTCCACACACTACTGTGGACGACTGTATACAATATTAAAGGGCCTGCGCGTGACTTGTTTTTCGGTCAGAAAATAATATGCTTATCTCCTGCTTCGTAGAGTACAGTTCGATTTCGATCATTTTTTTTTTTTTTATTATTGGACAAATAAAGACTTTTTACATGCGACTTTGTACTGGGATTTTAAAAGTTAAATTTTCAAACGTTATGATTAGAATTCTAAAATGACCAATTTTTTACATGTAAACCCGGTCAAGCGCAAGCCTGTTAGTACAAAACTTAAAACTGATTTAATTTGTTGTTAAGATTTGTTAAGACTCTTGAACGGTAAATGTTAATAATTTCTAAAAACACGAGCAGGGCACTTTTAACGAATAAACTATACGTCGTACACCAAATAAGTTGTTTTCAAATATGAAATTGATATAGTAATTAATTATTGATGTATATACCAGTAGTTTTTGCAATATCGACTTATTTTTTGTTAATATTTTTTTCGTTTGTATATAATATTTTATCGGATGCAGCAAACAGTAATGTGCAACAATAAAATCAATTGTATAAACGTGGACAATTTTGGGCTGCAATGTTGCAAAATTGGTTTTTTTCTTTTTCAGAAAACTAGAAATCCAATAAATAATATGAACATTGAACAACATTTTATCCACGATTAAAATTAATAATTTTAAATTCAATATATTATTGGGTATACTCACGACTTGAACCACTTTCAGGCGGAATATCATCGACTGTAGTAACGATGTCATGATGACGGTGTAGGTAGGTGTATATAAATAATTATTTTATGAAAATCTATACAAAAACACAAAGAAATAAATTGTATATTTTAAAGAATGGGTAGGATAATATTATATTAAAGCTTTATACGCGCGACGGTATACACTTTACTCGTTACATAGAAAAAGGACTAATGAGTGGTGTCTAATAGATACCTACTTGCAGCAGTATAGGTATAGATACGTGCCGGTGTTAACTCACTATAATTTGTTGGTACTTATCTATATCTCGTTCATCGTATTATTATGGGCGAGGTTAAAGACTATAATACGATAATATTTCCGCACGGTTAAAATATTGTATAAAAAAGTAATACCAATATATAATATAGATATCCTATATTAGGTGAATTTTAAAGTAAATATCTATTTTACTATAACGGAATAGCCGACTTTTCAAACGGTTCTGTTTTGTTTTCTAAAGTCTTGCCACGAAATCTGGCTTAATATTTAGTTACGTATTTATGCACTAGACACAGTGGCGCCACCAAGGGGTTTTTTTTGCGTAATAATACATATTATATATGGTTGCATGATTCGCACATTACAATTTTAGACGTTTCCTTGTAATTTTGAACACGTGTAAAACTATACAATATACATTCATTTCATCTATTTAGTAATAATTATGTTATCAGGCTATAATTTACTGGGTGGGAAGGGGGGGAACTTAATAGAACAGACGACAAATTATAATAATCATCTGCTACTGCAAGTAGGTTAGTATAAGTAGGTTTCAATTGTTGGCAATCTGATGTACGCGGAGTTACTCCCGCGTATAGGTGCGTATTATAGAATTCGCTTCAATTATCGGAGATGTATGATAATGGATATGCGTTACCTATACCAACTCCCAACTACAAATTACAATAATATTTTAAGAGGGTTTTGTTACGTAATCATAATATATATATATATATATACACTCGCGCATTATCGTTGATAAACTGTGTAAATATATTTATATTGTGTACCTAATGATTCATATATTATAATAATGAGATTAAACCGCATAATCGTCGCGTTTATATATCATATTATCTTTGGAGTAAAAACATATTATCATAATATGATATTAGGTACCTACTTAGGTTAAATTATTAATGTATAATGAGGACGTGCTATGATACAACCCGTAATTCGACGGCGAAAACGGTTTTTGCGCGGGAAAAACTATTCGGACTATCTATAGATTTAATTAAAGAATAAATTGTTTGCCATCGAAAAATGAGAACTTGCGTTACGCACCGTCCGTTTTATTTTTCCGATATTACAAATACAAAATCAAAACAGATTATTTACGTGTAAAAATCTGATTGTTTTGAGTTTTTTAAAATTCTAATAACTTTTTTCGCATTAGTGTTTTTGGAAAACTAAAATAAATGTTCCGCAGTGTAAGTGTTTTTTGTTTTATAGTAAAAATTTGGTTTTTAACCAAGTTCTTAACTTAGTCTGTGTAGTTTACCGATTCTGTCTAAACCAAAAGGGTTTTCGTAATTATTTTTGTTTACAAAAAAGTGAATTTGAATATTTTTGAGTTTGCTACTCCTTTAATATATAGTATCCTAGCATCGATAGCATGTCTTCGGTGCAGATGGCGTATAAAAGATTATTTTACAGTGGAGGGGGGGTTTATTTAGGGGAGATTATAAAAATATTAAACCGCAGTGTATCCATTTTAATCATCCATTTATTAAAATTGTAGGTCATGATTTTTAAATTGGAATGTTTTTAAAAACAATATTTTTTTTTGCAAATTAGTAATAAGTAATTTTGTTAAAATGTGAATGGTTATGAAAAATGTACCTATATTCGACGATTTATTTGAATATTGTAATAAAATGTAGGAGGGGAAGTTTTATTCTACATTTTTAATACACTGGGGATTTTTTATCCTACCGGTCAAGTAATAAGTGGTACCAAGTGGATATGACCCACGCATGACGCATATATACCCCGTTAATACGCCACTGGTATACATAACTCAATATCAGTACTATTATACACTATACTTGTTTACATTATATCCGCGTTTTTTATTTTTGTAAAAACAAATTATTTTTTTCAACCGATAAAATACTTGCGTCCGTGTCAACTCCTGTTTGCACGTGAATTATCTCTCGAAACAGTAAAACTTTTGGGGTGAGAATTGATCGCGTGCAGTGTACAAAATATAATTTTGTCACAAAATCAAATAATTATACAAAAACATACAAAACACGTACGAAAATCGGGGGGGGAAAAAAAATCAATTTTCCTTTTAAGAAGAAACGCGATAGGCAAAAACACGTTTATGCAAAACGAACGAAAGTATACTTTCTTATTAAGATAAAATATCAATGAAACAAAAGTTGGTACAGTTTATTTGAAAAAATATGTACTTTTGTGTTCGTTATATCAATTTGTATAGTGTATAAATATTTATAGGTAAATGCATAATGCAAGCTCGGAAAGCGTCAAAATCGGTAGACGCTTGATTTAAATTTGTTGTTGATTGCAATTAAGTAGTACTCGTTTATAATCTCCACGGAATCAGAATAAATGTTTAAGGGGAATGCAGCTGAAGTTTACATCATTTACCATATAATCTTTATTGTCGTCCATATCCAAGTCCCAAGCTACGTTTTTGAGTTCGTAATAATCGTGGGGATTATGTGACCAGTATATTTTTAGAGTCGTAGATATCCTGGCGATTTCAATTTTAGACTCTGAATGGAGTGGAAAAGCTTATGGTTTTACAAAGAAGTTTATTTTTTTTTCTGTGGACGACTTTTTTACCAGCAATTTCGTTTCAATTTATAATGATGGGAATTTTTCTAAAATGAAATTTGACTGGGGAGGTACTTTAAAGAGATAATTTTTCGATTTTATCAGGAGTTTTCTCAACAAATGTGAAAAACTGAAAAAAAAAACGGAAGAAAAATGGGAAAATATAAGAAATGTAGGTATTAGCTAAAAATATTATAGCCTTCTTTTTTAATGCTTAGATAAACATTTACGTTCACAGTAGTAGATTGGCTCACTGGGAATTTAAGAGTTTCCCAATGGACTAGACTACTTCGTAGGCAAATCATTTTTTTTTTCAAATTATTGTTTAATTTAATAAACAAATTATGATTTATGAATGTGTTTCGATAAAAAAAAAAAAAAAATAAACAATAGAGACGGTTATCTAGATTAAGTATCGTAGAATAGTTAAAATGATATTTTCTAATGTTTATAGTTTTATTTGATCTGTGGTATTATCATCATAAATTATCGTTATATATGTTTTAATGTATATTATAATGTAGCATCGTCCATCGAGTAAAACGTTTATAAAATAATTCAGGAATTGGCGGAAATCGGGGGCTTTGTGGGCTTTTTAGAATGATAAGCCCCCCAGTTCTTGCAAACATACACAAATTTTCACATTAATGTAATCTATTCTTATAAAACAAATAATAGAACATACAATATTTTAGATTCTGAGTGTAACAAGGGATGTATTGGTTTTACAATGATGTTTATTTTTTTTTATGTGAACACTTTTTCTACCAGAAAGCATACTCCGATTATCAAGTATAGCACTTTTTCTGAAAAGAAATTATCTCTGAGTGATACTTTAAAGAGGTCATTTTTTTAAATTCTAGTTTTATTCGAGATAATGAGGAAAACCTGGGTCTTTAGGTTATAAAAACATTGAAATATTAAAAACAAGGTTGTCATTGACAACCGTTTTTATTTATTTTTTGTTATTATTAAGTTTTTATTATTTTAATCTTTTTTAAACAATCATTGTTGTCATGAAAACGCACATTGTTTTAATCATTTTCCCATTTTAATATAACATAATACCATATATTGTATTGTTGACAAAGCAAAATTATCAACTAAACTCCGCTCAGAATTATTTTTTCGTTAGCGATGGTTTATCGTTGCTTATAGATATACATTAAATTTCCGTCTGTATCCTACCTCCCAATTTCCCATCTAAAACAGACTTGACACGTGACTGCATCCACGCGCAAAATATTGTTTTTAGTTATCGTCCGTCGAATAATTGTTGTTATTGACTGTTGATTTAAGTTTTTTATGTTTCTTTATATATGAGTGTAAATGGGAGAATTGAAATATCGTATACAATGAAATTGCCTACGTAGGTAATTCCAACTATGTTATGTTATTTGGTTGACCGATTTTCTTATGAGGCACACATTTTTTTGGAAAATATTAAAATTTAGCACTCATATTACACGTAAAAAAAAAAAAACCAAATAATAGGAGATTTCACTATAATATCACAATGTCTGATAGGGTAATTGCATCGTGCAAATGATATAAAATGTGTAGGTAGGCATCTATTATTAAAAATTTGATATTAAAAATATACCGATAAAAGAAATATATTGTATTGAAAATTGTTTTTTTCAGGAACAATCCTATTAAAACACCCCATTTTAGGGCCACCGAATGTAAAAATTCCTTACAAAATATAAAAAAAATCCACGATGTCCATAAAAATCGGTCGGAAAGTAAGAAAATCGAAAAATTGATCAATGACGGTTTTTCTAAGTCGGTATACAAACAAAAAATCTATTAGACATTTTGACATTTTTTTTCTCAGACGCAAGAGCCATACTTCAACCCGCGATTGCGATTATAGATTATAGATAACATTGAATTTTAATTTAAAAATCCGTTCAGAGTTATTTATGAGAGAGTATGGGGAGGGGGTGTAGTCTCCCACGGCTTTGGTTTATGAGAAAAATCGTTGCCCCTCAACTTTTTCAATATATTTCCGCTTATACATGCTGGTCACCCCGTCGGTTTCGTTGCTCACACTAGTGCACGACTACTTTCTACTTACCATACTCTCCTCGACACTAACCGACGACGCATATGCGTGTTTTGTTTTTGTTAATTTGTATTACTTATTATTCTAATAGGTACTTCTAATCTTTCTGTGAGATTTTATTAAAATTGTTCGTCAGTATGAGTGAATTTAATGTATCAAAAAGGAAAGGTGGTTGTTTTTTGAACAGATAGTTTTAATTTTTTTTTTTGTTTTTTTTTTCGAAATAGTGTAACTAAGTTAAAACAATTGATTATAAAATATGAGACAAATTGCAGATAAGGTACTACACTTATGGAATGGTCTAAAAGTAAAAATTGGGAATGGACCTAATTTATGGAAAAGTCAAATATATTAACATATTATCTCTTTTACAAAAATATATATATAAATATAATACCTATATACCTGGTCATTGACAATAAGCAATTAACGTTCATCGAAAAAACGAACATCATAAACCGTAGTCATCATGAATAAAATATGAATTCAAGTGTTTTTTTTTTTAAATAGGCACTGGTTAAAATTGTTAAAAATTCGATACCAATATTTAAAATGGAAATCAAAAGCGACATTTTTTTTTGGTTTCAATCCCAGTTAAACCCTATGTTAAACTAAACTAAATGTTTGAACCGATATTTTTTTCAGTACTTGATAAATATAGTTAGGTACTATCATAATATCAAAAATAAAATAAGGATAATGATAGTTTGTATGTGTTGGATTAGCAATTAATTCAATTTTCACTTACCTACTAGAATTTATACTAAAAAGTCCCATTATTTGAGAATTTATTATAAATTCCGAAAATATTCCCTCACTTTTAAATACCTTGAAATTACCCGGTAAGTAATGCATTAGTGATGCTAGCTGTAACTAGTGGCATATAATTGCTTAAAAAAGTTGAAATTTGATACATTTATACAATTAATTTATTACAAAACTTAAATTGTTCCTCTCCCGCCCTTTGTCCGATGTTCGCTCTTGAATATTGTTCGACGAAAAATGTAATAGATTGTTTATTTATGTTGGTCAGATGAATAGTTGGGCTATTTGCGCCGATCACTGTTAGGTACTAGGAGAATATTGGGCCGATATCCTCGCAGTTCATTGTTTCCTGCACCTTACGACTTATTATATTATTTTATCGGAGAGTACAATCGAACTACTTTTATATCATTGCGATTGACCTTACACGACTTTTGTATTTTATTTTATTTTTTTTTTTTTTATTATTTGCTTATTTCATTTTATACACGTATATTCCCTTATGATGGCTTACGCAGCGATAAAATCCAATTAGCATTTTACAATAATTAAATTAACACAGCATGTACTCGTACATTATTATGTAGCACAGTAGTGCGGGTAAAATGTTTTCGTTGACAACCGTGCTAATAGAAAATAATAACTAGCTTAAATAGTTTTGGAATTGGCGAGATTTCTTGACGACGCCGCGCTGTTCTTATTGTGCGTCTCAACAGCGTTATTAATCACCGCGGCGTATATATTATTATCTTCCGTGCTCGTGAAATGGGAAAACCGAGTACCTAGGTGTATAGAGAAACTCGATTAGCAATTTAATGAAAATTTATTAACTTATTCCTCATTGATGTTATTTTTCCGGCCCCTGCAAAAACCACTCCAATAAATTTGATATCATAATATAATAATGTATGTTGGGATTTTTTTTTTTCGTCGACGATTCACGGAAATTTCACAAAACGGATCCGTGTTATGATTTGCAGCTTTATGTGTAGAATATAGACATAGTAAAGTTTAATGTATTTAAGTCGACTCCATTGGTGGATCTGAAGCTTATTTGGGCGGGGATTGAACTGACATCACATAGGTACTTCTAAAACCGTAACTGAAAAACAATTTTTGATGTGGAGGAGAGGTCTGAAATTTGTTTAATAAACTTTGCACGTTTTAAACGTCCACCACACGGGGACTGGTCACCCCTTCCTCTCAGTTATGTCCTTGAATACCTATATAGTTTATATTTCAAGTAATCATTTAAGAAAGTTCAAGGGTGCGATCGACACGTGCTTCTCCCCCCTAAAATCCGCCACTAGTTCTATTATTGCGACCACTTTTCCAATATTGAAGATGTTTTTTGACGATTAGTTATTTAATAATTTTAATTGTATAAAACATTTTCACGTTACAGAACTACAACGAGCTATCGACTGGTTGACTCTGCAGCGAGGCAAAGATTGGGGATGGGGAACGGGAACGGGTACGGCACAGGCAATCGTAGCCATGGAAATGACGAAAACCGGTGATCGTCTGGAACGCGAATTAAGCGCCAAACAGTTGGAAATTGAGCTTTTGGCAAGGTTATGGCAGCACCACGATCCGGATTCGGTTACCCTCCAGCAGCAGGATGACGAAGACGAAGCGCTAACCGTGGCCAACATAGCGACGTACTCGTTGGCATTGGCCAGCGCCTGTCACGATCCCAGACAATTTCACGGACACGATTTGATTGGTACAAATAAAAGTCGATTTTGTTTGAATATACCCTCTCCCCCCCCATTGTTCCTTTAGTATTATGTTTAGGTATACAAGCCGCGACGGTATAAAACAAATTAAACATTTTTTTAGGGAACGATACATTTCTCGGCCGGATTTTGACTCTCCGGCTATATAAACGCCGAGCACATAATACCTACAATAATGATAAATCATTCGAAACGATGTTGTCCTATAAATGCTTAGGATTTAGATACCCATACCGGCTATAATATCCGGTATAGGTATGTATAGGTATTATAGATATAGTCTACGCATTCAATCTAATGTAATCCGACCGAGAAATGAACATAAGCGTTCTCCAAATTATTGGCGAACACATGGTATTAATCGTACATTTGTTTGCATACACACGTGTGCATTACAGGTTCGTTGTTGCAACATGAAACGATATCCGATTTGGACTTTTCGTATAGCTGTCTGGTGGCGTGCGAAGCAGGCACGCACGTGAGAAAAAGGCACATCAGACGGCTAATGGAGATAGCCAACACAAAGCGCACTGTGGGTCAGTATTATTTTATTTTAAATATTATTATAGTTTATTTATCGATATACCTAGGTATATTTTCACTACAGCAATACACCCAACAAAATATGAATCGAAAAATATAAAAAAATATTGTTGTAATGTATAATACAATGTGCAAATGATGTTCTTTTTTGTTATATAAAATATTCATAATTATAAAGTACAAATAAGTACAAATGCAGCTGGTTCTAAATGCCATAAAGATGATTCCGGATCTTGGAAATACTTTGATTAAAACAAGAATGAAACACTTTTTATTTGAAAATTTTAATTTTAATAAATATTTTTTCAAGGGTGAGATAGAATTATTGAAAACTAAGTGGGGACAAACAATTTGTAAAGATATAATAAAATGATATATTTTTAGAATAAAAATTGAAAATGATTAATTCAATTTAAATTTTAGAATCTGAGTGTAGCGAAGGAGACATCGGTTTTACTAAGATGTTTATTTTTTTCTAGTCTGGATACGTTTTTTCCTAGTAAACTTGCTCCAATTTTTACGTATAGCAACTTTTCTGAAAGCCCAAATTATCTAAATGGTACTTTAAAAAGGTTATTTTTTAATTTTTGACTCCATTTTTTAAATAAAAGCACTTAAGTGGGAAAAAACGTAGAAAAATGTACGATTTCACGATTTAATTATTTAATAAAAAAACACAAACGACGTTTACTACCAGAAAAAATGATTTAATCGAAAAATCACACGATACCTTTCTTGTTGCCTTTTTGATTTACTTTCTTACGGTATTATTGCCAAAACTTTTGAGTCACTTTTAAGCTTGTAAGGAATTTTAATTTTTGGGAGTTTTTTGCTGTAATTCGGTTAAAAACACACGTAGAGTCTTGAAATTTGGTCATAATACTTATATTGGACTTACCTAGACGTGGTAAAATTTTCAAAATCATCGGACGACCTTTTTTATTTAACAAACGTTTTGAAATCAAATTTAAACGAAAATCGTAAAAAAATGACGGCACTTCAAATTATGTATAACCAAACTGCTCTGGGAATCGTTTTTCGTCAAAAATGATTTATCTTTGCTTACAGATATAAAGGAAATAACTTTATGCATCCTACCTTCCCAACTTCTCATCTACAACAGTGGCCACTCCCATCCCCAGTATCAGCTTTTTTTTTATACTGTGACAAAAATTTCTATCAGAAATCTTGCTTCAATATGTAAGTCTAGTACCTTTTTTAAAAGTAAATATTGTCATATTGACTATATGGTACTTTCGAAAGGTTATTTTTTTGATTTTCCAAGCAGTTTTCATATCAGGAAAACCCAGGAAAAAACGTAAGAAAAACGAGAAAATTTACGAAAATAGTGCTATTATTTTTTGTTGCAATTCAGTTAAAAATATTCGTAGACTTGAAACTTGGACAGAAAACTTATATTTGCCTTTTTTCGACTTGGTAAAATTATTGAGCAATTTATTCGGTTAGGTTTATTCGGTAGGTATTCTGTGGATACAATTATTAGATCAAACAGAAATGCTTGAGAATTTAACATGAGGTTCATTAAAAGTCGTACTTTTTAGTAAAAAAAATATTGAGTAGAGGCTAATTGGCTAGTAACTTTTAAATATTCATCGAAATGAAATCAAAAATATAGAAAATAAAGTTGATCAAATCGCTTACAAAACGCTGCTTAAAATAAAAGTATTTTAAGTATTTAACTTTTATTAATTATTTTTATTATTATTTTTATTATTCATATTGTCATTTATTTAATTTGAAAAAAATTAATTTAACTTTTAAATTGTACTGTTACTGCATTTGTATAATATATCTGTAGTCTGTTAAGCTAATATAAGTTGAAATGACATCAGGCATAAAGGTTTTAAGATTTTGTTGACCCAAAGCGGAGGTATTAAAGAGTAAAAATTGTTCAAACCCCCTCTTCCTCTTAATGGAATTGTCCCAAAGATATCTCTGAGCAATACTATTAACTGAGCTCCACTCAGAATCGTTTTTTGTTGGTGATGCTCAAATTTATTTAGGTACAAATATACATTAAATTTCCCTCAATATTCTTCTCATTTCTCATTTATAACAGTGGTCCACTCATTGTGCGAAGCATGTCTTACCAAAATTGGTTTATTTATTGAAAATTATTGTTTTTGTTAAACTATATTCGATTAGTATCTACGATTAGTACACGAGTCAATGTTTGCCAAAATAAAATGTCTGATCATATGAGATCTCTAAGGCTTCAATGGAATTTTTTCATTTATAATATAATGATGACATTTCTGCAGATTTCATCCTACAATTATAGCATTTAAAAGGATTATTAAACACAATAGTTTAAACAATCAAAGACCTCGCTTTATTAATAATTAAAAATGATTTCTGTGCAACATACTACGATGCAATAACTGCATGTATAATTTATATTTCACTGCCTGTGACAGTTGTAACAGCAGACAAGTTATTCTCAAAATTGAAATTAATCAAAATCTATTTGAGGAATAGCATGGGTCAGGTTCGCATTTTGAATATAGCTATTTTAAATATTGAAAGAGATGTAGCTAATAAACTAGATTTGAAAAAAATTATTTCTGCATTTGCAAATTCCAAAGCGAGAAAAAAATGTATTGTATGCAAATAACTAAATAACTAAATAACTGCTGTATTCTCACAAGTATTAATATATTTTTATTTGTTTTTATGAATATATTATGTTTACATGTATTTGGTTAATCTATTCCAAGGTTTTATATGACTAGGTGTTGGGTGAGTTACAAAAATATGTATGGAATAGAAAACGTGTGTTATGCCCATCATTATTAGATCTTCTTAATTTTATTTACAAAAAATTAGAAATTTATTAATATTATATGGTTTTTTCCAAATGACAATTTGTCGAATACTTCAAATTTTGTTTACAAATATAAGCGTAAAAACTTAAATTAGAGCCCCTTCATTAAAAGTGACACTGAGGCCCTAGTTGACTTAGTTATGCCACTGCCAGAACATAATACTTTAATTGCTATTATATATTATTATTGACTGGTTTGCACTATAATATAACAATTAAACAACAATGCCCAGCCCGGATTTTTATACACGCACAAAAAACCGGGCCAAGCTGTATTATTATATAAACTGGCTGAGCCAGGAATTGTGCATGTAGTCCTCTAGTTAATAGATTTCCATAGCCCAGACAACCCTGTGTGGTACGATATTGATTTGAAATAAATATTTATAGGAAGTTTGAATTAGTTATTAATTTCATCAAAGGTTTTAATTGCCGTGTATTCGTTGATTATGCACGTTAAGTTGTGTGTGACTGACTTAATATATTTTTCATGCATAATATAGGGGTAGTAAAAAATAATAGAAACGCACCTTTATATTCGTCAATACTAGTCAATAAATTTCAATTTCCCATGAAAAACAAATACCAACTGAGGACTGGGGCCTTGGCTCATACATTAACCACTAGGAGGCAATAATTTTATTAATACGATAAAAAAAAAAACATTCCTCATTGAGGTAAATAATAATAAAACGTTGCGTTTAATTATGAAATATTCTTGGCAGGTCGGTTTTTCTGAGCCCATAAATATTGTTCTGGTCCCTTCGAGTTTTTAAAACAAACAAAAAACAACTATTTAGACTTACTTTAAATTATATTAGTTTTTATTTATACCCATTCTCATCTACTCTTAATTAAATCTTTGTTATTTATTAAAGTTTTAATATTTTTTTGATTTTATATCATTAATTCATATACGTTCTTTGTAACTACACATACTATAATAAAGAGATTCTTTCGCGACATTTATACATTTTTACAAGGACAACTGGCTAAAGCTATTAGGTAACGCGATACTAATTCAACAAATTTACACGCACGTTGTCACTTACATAAGTCCTCGACCGCTAATCTGGGTTTGTTTGTATCTTCGTTCTTGTATTGAACCGTCATAAACAAAGAGTTTTCAGTCACATATAATGGAAACTATAACGTCGTGTAATCTACAGGGTGATTTTTTTTTATCGCGATTTATCAGGCCCGTCATCTTGGCACTCGCACTTTGGAATTTTAAAACCAAACCAAAGCTATTATTTAGTAAGGAATTTTTAATTATTTGTCACGTTTATTTCCGAATTTGTAACTCTTCCCAGACCTGAGAAAAACACTTTTTTTATTTTCTGGGTGCTGAAACGACGTCTTCCTGACATTATTAATGTACTTACAATATTTTTAAGAAAATAATTTTTGAATATTATATTTAATGATATAATTTATTTCAAAGTATCACAATGTGATAAATTATAGTTTCAAAAGAAGATATTATATAGGTATATAAAATAATTAATTAATAAATATATTTCTTTAAAATTAATGTCTTTTATTCTCATAATATCTTAGTATATAATAAAAATTATTTGATTTGGGTGTAATAGAAATTCAATACTTACTAGCCTATTATCATTTACTAATGTAATTTTATTACATTTATCCATGGATGAAATTAAGTATTTAAATCAGTGCTTTTAGTTAACAATCCAAAAGACGATGTGGGTGCCAGGAATGCGTCGTTCCAGCACGCAGAAAATAAAAAAAATGTTTTTTCGATTTTGTTAGGGGTTAAATAGTCGGAAATAAAGGTTTCAAATAATTTCTTACTAAATAATGCCGTTGGTTTTCAAAATTCCAAAGTACGGGTGCCAGATTGACGGACCTCGATTTATCACAGAGGATTTTAAGTGAATTTGATTTCTGTTTTTTTTTTTTTTTTTTTTTTTTTTTTTTATCATTTTGGTATCATTTAGCTTTATTTTAAAATTATTTTTAATTGTTTACCTCTATTTGATATATTATACACCATATACCTACTATACCTATTCCCATATACCTATTGTTAACTTATTTTAGATTTTCTTCTATTAAAATGAAGTTATAATATCATTTGCAAATATAATGCACCACGGTATGTCCTTTCACTTGTTGTTGCATTGGAGATGGGATAATCCGCTTAAGTCTTATTTAAAACTTCTCATATCCTACTGTTTGACAGAATTTTACACCGGCTGTCGACTTGACGCAACTCCATTTGTTGCCTCTTACGACGGGTAAAGGTACCGTGGGATTATTTTGATCCTCTCCCATACGGAGAATGGTATTATCGATTTTAAAGTAAATTCCTCCACCCAACACAAATAATGCCATATGCTTACTGGAATCACCCACTAGTAGGAACTCGGGGTTCCGGATTTGTTAAGCCCGTAGTATCATGTGCCCTCCTGAAGTGACCTACTTAATAATATCAACATTTTATTATTAGGTAGGTACCTAATAATATCAAACTTTAATTTTCAGACTCATTGAGCGTAGCCATACTAGCGTTCCAATGTGTGGAGCAAGACCACCGCAATCGAAACGTGAAGCCGTTACTCAAAAAACCGTTGGCCACTTTGGTGTCGCTTCAACAGCAAGACGGAGGATTCGGTAGCCTTCATACGACCGCGTTGGCGATCCGAGTGAGTGGCTTTTTGTGTAAATTATAAATTTCTTATCATTTTTTTTTTTTTTTGTAATTCATTTTGAAGATATAATATCTAGAAAAACGGCATCAACCGACCAAACCATACACGCTCTATTAAGTAATCCAATATTTTGAAATTTCATCACTCGATTTTTAATAATTTTTACGTTCAAAAATTTAGATGCAAAATTTTTTTTAATTATAATTTATTTTTACACGTGCGTTGCGAGAAATTCCATAAAATAACACGTTAAAAACTTTATAGAAAAGATTAAATGACACCGAATGAATGCACAAAAACTCTTATTTAGTTATGTTACCAATTGATTTTTGAAAATGTCAAGGGCCGGAATACTCGATCTCGGAACTCAAATCAAGCGTAATATAAAATGTTTTTGAGCGATAGCATACAGGTATCCTATATTGTATCAAAATAAAATATGGGTAATGAACTCGTGACGTGCGTCGATTCGAGGAGATTGTTTAATAACATTCAAATAAGTCAAGAGTATACTTTTTTTTTATTTCTTAAAAATATAAAACGTTGACGTCAAATCAGTATAATATTATAACTTTTAATTTATGATTAGGCGTTACATGAGGGTAAAGCGGCGTGGAACCGGACGAAGGCGGTCGATTGGCTGGTGAATCACCAAGGGCCCGATGGAGCTTTCTTCGACGTGCCAACGACGGCCGAAGTCATAATGGCGTTGGCGAGGGTCTCCGGCGTGGCTGAAGGCATAGCGGACCACTGCGAAGTCCGACCCGGGGCTGGTGAGTGTTCGGGGCGTGTTGTGACGCACGATTATTTTTTTAATGGAAACAAAGTTATAGTATTAGTAGTAAGTTAGCAGTAAGTTTTATGCGATAATAATTATTCTATAGTCGGACTGGAACCGTCGTTCCGTCTCATCGTCCCGATCCTTCTTCCCTCTCTTCATCTATAATTGACGCAACTCGCGGTTTTTCCATTCTAAATCTTCTCTTATTAGCGCTTCCACTTCTCGTTTTTTTTGGCCATCACGGAAGTTTTTTCTATAATCGGGTTCTGCATATCATGCATGCTCATCCGAACTTTTATTTCATAATTATAATTATACTTTCATATCCATCATATTTCCTTACGTTTCCTTCTCTTCTTCCGCACCGGTTTCCTTCTCTGCCTAATATGGTATGTCACTCATCTCCCAGATCATGCGTATGTCGCTGGCATTGATCACTGACCACAAACCTATTTTATAATATAAAATATTATATTGTATGCGAGCCCGATCTAAACTTTTTTTTGGCATGTCACGCAGATAAGGACAATGTTGGTACCGCAGTCATCATACCGCACCCGTCGTCTGTCGATACCAAACATCCGGTTACGGACAACACTACTGACGTCGTCACTGTTGCAAACGATAACAGACTGTCGCAGCAGCAACAACAGGAACAACAACAGCAGCAGCAACAACAGCAACAGCAGCAGCAACAGCGACAGCAGAACTCGTCAGACGCCAGTAACGTTAACGTGACGGTCAGCTATACAATATGGATCGGTGGCAACATCACGGAAAAACGGTCTATCAATATCACGGCCGACCGAAACGTTACATTTTACGAGATCATGCAGAAGGCGTCCGAATTGGACGCAGCTTTCGTGTACGATATTTGTATTATTATTATATTTTTTTAAAACAGAGTTGAATAAAATTGACATAAATTAATGACGATGCACCACAACCGGTTTTTAAACTTTGAACATTGGTGGGCAGATGTTAGGAATCTGTGCAAAATTTGATTGTGATAACTTTTGGTACCTATATCAGATATTTTATGAAAATTTTCAATTGGGACAGATCAAATTTTAAAACGATAACCGACGCCGACAGTCAAATAAATAATAAATACAACAAGTGCGATTGAATACAACTCCAATTAATTTTAGACTCCGAGTACACCCAAAAGTTTTTGCTCAGTGTAAATATTTTATTTGATATGTTTATTAAAATTCCAGGAGTTCACCACTAGATTCTATTTTCTTGTTGATTTTTTTGGCAACAAAGAAAAAAAAAGATTTATAGATAGTTCGCTCAAATTTTTTTCTTTTTGTTCATGATTTGTCATTGTATACAGCAATATGTAACCTAAATTACCCTATATATTCATTACCAGTGGTGACCAACCCGTAGATCACATACTATTTCAGTATCGATCTCCCTTTGTTAGAAATTATTTGTATACAATTAGTAGATCATAGATAAATTATAATTGCCGATAATTTTTACCTTATTAGATCATCAGTTCAACAGTTTTTATGTTGCCTACAATTTTAGGTATATTTAATTTATAATACTATTTTAGTCTTCATAAAAGTATGATGAAAAACATTATTCAACTATACATTTTATTTACATTATTTGTACATGTATGTTCATTGTTATTAATAGTTATAATTTTTTTTTATGGATATTAATTCTCAAAAGAAAAATATATTCTTAGTAAATCTCTGACAAAAAGTTTGGCCGTCCCTTTCCAATACCTTATTTCCAACTACTTACCTACAACAGTCGCCTATTTGAAAATTTGGGTATTTTATATTTTGGTTAAATCAAAATTTGGGCTACCTGTTTTCAAAATATCAATTGAAAGTATCAAACAAAAAATATTGTTTATCTCTGGACTTTTACCCAGTATTTTATCAACTTTTTGTTTATATATTTTATCAAACTGACATTATATAACTGCTACGATATCTTTAAAAATCATTAATATATTAGTTTTTACGTATAAATAGATTCTCATAAAATTAAAATAAATAAATCAAATTTAAGCGCGTTGGACGTTACAGAAATTAATCCCACTTTTTTATCCACAATCCTCATACACTCTATTTTACAAGACGTGTTGTTGATTTTATAATGAGTAAATAGATAGTACCCAAAACTTACATTCTAATTTTTAAAATAACTGAAACAAAATAATAAGCAAAGGTAATGGAAATAAATAATTCGATCAGATAAGAGAGAGAACGACTTATATTTAAACAAATATTAAGCGGACTCCCTATCTGAGGATGATATCTGGGTCATTATAGATTGACACCTATGGTTACACAGTATACTACTCATTAGACATTCTGTTATTGGTTTTAATATAATGTTAAAAGGAAAATTATTATACACTTGAAATTAGTAGTAGGTATAAAAAAATAACATATTTAAATCTTTAAATTTAGTAGTACATCAAAAAAAATAGTTAAAAAATAATAGTTAAAAAATAATATATAAAATATAACAAAATAGAAAGTGGTTTTCAAATCTAGGATTGGGTAAATACATACTCCTGTTCCATTCCCCTAAATTGGATTTAAAATTTTTGAAAAAAAACATTAGTCTTCAATTCGTTACTTAGATATTTATTCGACAGTTAGTTTTAAAAAGTTAACGGTAAAACTAATTAATTATGATTAACTAATAGTTAAAAATTAAATTTTTAATCATTTAATACCCGTCATTGTGAAAAAGCAAACCCAATAATTGAAATAATAATGACTTTGTATAACAGACTATACAATATGAAATAATTATACCTAATATTCTAAATATCTAAATACTACAAATTAATAATTGGTTTTCTTATAGATTCGCATCTACGGAATGGCCAAACGGTCACTATGTGCACACCTTGTCGGGGCTCAAGGAGGAACCGTTGAGTTATAATTTTTGGCTGTTGTATAAACTTAAATCGTCTCCAGATACGCAAAATCCACCAGGCAATAACCTGGTAGCTCCCACCGGTGTCGACGATCTGATCGTTCAGGATGGCGAACACTATTTATTTTGGTACAAGAAGCTCTAAGTTCTGTAGGTCAGTTATCACTACACGTAATACTGCGTTTTTGTTTTACCGACGACAATATTGATAGTATTACCTATGTATATAGTCTTTACTTGTGTTCTAGAGTAACGAAAATGGAATTTTGAACGCGCACGACATACTTACATTTATCTACTACAAATACGCGTTCAAACTAAGGTCGACAATAATATTATATTAACAAGAAAAATAATTTTTTAAACAATTTCTTTTTTTTCCCTAGAAATTAAGTGATATTATTAATATTATTATTACATACCTATTATTATAATTACTATTTATACATTCATTTTAGACTTGTCGAAAACCATGTGTCAAAGAAGTTATTATTCTCCGTATATTTAGGTACGCTTGTAAAAACTAAAACAATTTTTTTTCTCGCCAACTATACCTTTGGTCTCAGGAGAAAAGGGCTTCAATTAATTTTACATAGTCTTCAATACAAGCAAATTAAATTTTGTGAATTTCTTAATGGCTTAATTGCTGAGTAGATATTATTTATCTAATAAATATGACTTATGCTTCTTTTGCCAAACAAAAAGTAAATAATAATGACTTAAGACATTTTAATGTTTTGGATAACATATTGTGTTACAGTACATGCACTTATGCCATTTAGACCAAAAATTACATAGACAAAATTATACAAATATATATATAAAAAGAGCCAAAATTGACTTAAACCCTTTTTCCTCGGAGCCAATGGTATATTATTCATATTATATACCTTTAAATTTTAATAATGTCATAATTTTTGTTTTCCTATGTACTCAATCATCACCGCAGTTCATAATGCTTTTTACGTATACTAGTTTTAGTTTAGCTATTATGCATTTCGCCCAAAGTGCATTGCGTATGGGTACCTTACAATAATATTAATATACCTAATGTACCTATCGTCATATAAATAGATAATATTATATAGCTACAACTATAATGTCATATCATCACTTGATATTCATATACCTATCTAAAATATTATTAAAACTACTTAAACCTATTTCCTATCTATATTATATTATTGTACCTACCTACTTGTATTGATATAATTATGTTTTATCATATTAAAATCTTTGGAAGGCTGTGGAAAACTATATGATTGACTTTCGAAATTAATATCGTTCTAATATAGACATTAGTTAGGTATATTGGTATATATACCTATGTAGATATACATTATACACTTTTCGATACAAATATAATTCACTCGCTTTTAGATTCTGACGGTACCTAAGAAATGTTTTATTAATATATTATTTGTTTTTTTTTTTTGTCAGATTTTCCTTGAACATAGAGACTATTGCAGTCTACTGTCCTCGTTATATAGAAATATAATTCTATATATTATTATTAATAATATATTATTTATATTATTTTTTCTGCCACTATTTAATATACTTTTAGCGTGTCTTTTTCTGGACCATAATATGAGCTCAAACTCGGGAATTCGAGGAATAAGAATTATTTTATAGGCGGATCGGAGTGATACAAAGTTGAATTGAATTTCAATATGTTTTATGAGTTTCACCACTTTGTTGAGGGTGGATTTGACATAAGTATTAAGGATGCGCCTTATGGGGGTTTAAACATTTAACACCTACCTCTACCATTTATGTGCTCATGCTCAAGCTAATGAATTATAATATATCAACCCACTGAGCTTAGAATTTTCACCGTGCCAAAATTATGTAAAATAGATCAAACTAGCATAAATTGAATTACAAATAAGTATAATTTTGAGCGGCCCATAGAAATTGTCTCGATAGCTTGACTGTTCAATCCGGGTTTGGCTCGAATTTCAAATTTCAGGTTTATTTTGGAAGTTATACATTATATTATTTATAATGTTCGGTTGTTTATTGTTTTACGAAAAATATTTCTATAATAAAAAATAGATGGGAGAGAATTAGACTCTAGTGCTGGAATTTTGCTTATAGGTTTTTGTTCTGTCTGTTAACAACTATTATTATACCAGAAATATTGTTCTAATCTAATCCTGGTAGCAAATTTTCTCTTGTTGATGCATCGAAGATGTCATTATTTTAGATTTTGAGCGAAGTGAGGAATGTATTGGTTTTAAAAGGTTTATTATTATTGTTTATTAATCTGTAGTTAACTTTTCTACCAAAAATCTTGCTCCGATTTTTAAGTGTAGCACTTTTTCAGAAATTTTAACTAGTCAGTACTTTGGGCAAATCATTTTTTTGATTTTCCATAGGGTTTTCATAATAATTGGGAAAAAACGTACACGTAAACGTAAACAAATAAACGGACAAATATTTACGTCATAACGATTTCGTGATTTTAGATTTGTACACACTTGTTTTCTTCTAGAAATCTTGTTTTAACAAGAGACGTTTTTGATTTTCTGTGCATTTTTTTTTAATGATAACCAAACTGAAAAAAAAAACGTAGAAAGAACGGAACTATTTACGAAGATAATGTTTTTATTATTTTCAATTTTCAATTCTTTTCTGAAATTCAGTTTAAAATATTGGTAGAGACTTGAAACTTATACTTTATCTGAACTTCGCTCAGAATCATTTTTTATTAGCAATGATTAACTATTGCGTACACATATAGATTAAATTCCCCTCTATATCCTATCTTCTAAATTAATAATTGGTGCATGTACACAGGGTTCAAAGTTCTAAGTGCTAAGTGAAGTTTGAAGACGTCATATCGGAAGATTTCAAGGTAGTGACGGAGTTTAGACTAGAGGATGCATTATCCTCAGCGCCATTCAATATAGCATTAGAGTCAGTCGTCAGAGAAACCTTAATAACAGCAAATGGAACAAGAATTGGACCTAACAGGCAGTTAGTAATGACCGCAAATGTTGATGACTTAGTTATAATGACAGAAAATCAGTGGCGTATACAGGAATTTTTTCTTAGAGGGGGCTGATCATTTACATATTAGGTACATTACAAAGAAAAAAAAACATAGTAACTACAAAATATTGATTGAAAAAACTTTATTTAAAATTGTAAAATAATAAATTATTATTTTAATCAGATTGTTAATTTTAGTCATCTAGATTTTTCACTGTTCAAAAACTTATCTAAGTACCATATCATCAGTGATATTTACATCCCTACGATTTGACAACAGAGCTAATCCTACAAACCGTGATTCCGATGTTGCATTTCGAAGATAATTTTTCAATCTCCTTAATGTTGAAAAACTTTTCTCAGCAATGGCTATTGTAACTGGAAGTATTGATAGTAATCTAAGAATCTCATACATATTTGGGTATATTAGTGGTTCACATTGTTGCAGTGCTTTGATAACAGTCAATGACTGAGATTTAGATCCAACCAGATTCTATTCTGACTGCCATAATTGATATTCCGTTTCTATGTCATCATACCCTTTTAAATCATGCTGGCAAAATGTAACTGCTGTTTTAAGGTTTGAATATGGTTTATCTCAAATCATATTTAGTAAATTTTATTGTAGAGAATTTATTGTTTCTTTATGTGATAAAAAACCGTTCATTGAATAATGAAAGTATAACATCTAAGTGAGGTATAAAAACTGTTTTCCTATAAAATGCTTGATTATTTTGAAAAGAAACATTTTGGCATTTGGCGGTTTCTTTAAGTAATTCAAATTTGTGGCATATTTTCTTTCACATTTAATAAACTTTTTTATATATTTCATTAAATTTATCAGTTTTATTTTCTCTTAAAACTTGAAGTTGAATTGTTACTTGATTCACTCTATCAAGCGCATTCACTTGATTAATAGTTTTACTTTGCAAGTATTATGATAAATAATTAGTTATTACAATAATAATTTAAGATTCCCTGAAATTTCAAAAGGGGCTGCAAACCCTTTAGCCATCTATAGATAAGCTACTGCAGAAGATGAAGTGAATTTAATATTCAACTTAAAAAATTAGGTTAGTTTGTCATATAATTTTAATAATTAATAATTAATAGCCTATCATAAAAAAATACAATAATATTGAATACCTATAAATAGTCTAAAAATAGATTGAATGTTTTTGCAATATTATATAATGTCCACAAAAGGCCATTATAAGTATTTTGTGAAAACTATAGATCTCTAGTAATCTCTAGGAGTAGAACTGGCTAAGGAAAGAGATTGATGGAGACAAGTGGTTATTGCGGCAATGAACCTAAATGGTTTTTAAAGCACTAAAGAAGAAAAAGAAGAAGTGTTCTTAATAATTGAGAAAAAGTAGAAAAAAACAGATATATTTGAGTGATAAATGTTTCTGTTATTTTCGATGTTTTTGGTTGTAATTTAAATGAATATATTTATAAAAAATTTACAATTTCTATCAAATACTTACCTAGCTATAAGCTCTTTCTAGACATAGTACAATTTTTAAAGCATTTTATTGATATTTGAGTTACTTATATAGCCATTAATCAATAATAATTAAGTAGGTACTCCCAGTCTAGTCTAGTAACTGCTCGCATTGTCTTTATTTCTTCACATTTATTTGTTTACTTTTAAAACACCTAGAACACCTATGCCCATTTAAAATTTTCATGTATAAGGTATAGCCCAAATGTGAAACTAGGTAAGTAATTTATTTTTTTAATGATTAAATTGCTACAATATAAAAATTATGTTTGTTCTAATTTTAATCTACAAAAAGATAGATATCTAAACATCTATACAGATTATATTAAAAACAAAATATATTATGCATTAAGGAGTGCATTTATTGTTTATACACTGTGTATATGATAATATAGTACAGTCTTTATATTACAATAATAATAATAATATTTAACATATAATATTCATATATATTTTGAAAAAAAAAAAATTGTAGAACTTAAATTTTATTTTTACAAAATATATACTATAATTATTATTAATATAAATATAAGTGGTCTACCATATATAGAATATAGATACATTTAAATTTTGCTCTAACAAAAAATCATTGTTTTAAACAAATCAAGGATATTACACTCTAAATCCTAAGTTTCTGATTTTCTATAACATTGATTTATGAATCTAATATTAATTTAAAAATTTTGTAAATTGGCTAATTTAATAATAAACATTTAGGTACCTATTTTGTTTTCTAATTGACAATATTAAAACAATAAATAAATACATGATGAATACTAGCTACTACTAATAATAACATTATATTAGAATTGGATTTCCAAAGAAAAAAATTTCTGAGAACAAATACTTCCAAATTTCCAACATTAATTTAATGAAAACAATATCTGAAGAAATTGGTGCAGCTATATTGGTAAGTAGATTGGTCTCAAATTTAGAATTGGGATTAAATTCTTATAAGTGTCTGTTGAATTCAGAGGCAGTTGATTTAAAAAAAAGATTTAACTAATTTAGTGTACATAATAATATGTGACCACACATATTACAAGTAGTTTTACAAACAAATTTATACACAATATTAATATAATATCATCTGCTTAAATAAATAAATAATACAATTCAATTAAAATAAAGGACACAATCAAATAAATAAATAAATAAATAAATAAATAAATAAATAAATAAATAAATAAATAAATAAATAAATAAATGATTTAATAAAATCAACAAAGATATTGGGAACCATGGGAATAAACCTCTTCACGGATGGAATCAACAAGATGGTAGAGTAAGTATTTTATGACTTACATTATTGAGACAGTTGGTATGGTCTTTTTAACGGATAGATGTTAGTTTTTATAATACTTAACAATTTAACAAATGACAAACACTAATAACGATTTTTAAAATTGAATAAAAATACACTTTAGTTCACAGAATAAAATTTATACTCATAAATAACAATTTACAATATTACTAATTACTGGTAATATATGTCATTGTTTAATGATTTTTTTTTTTTTAATCTCCATTTGCCAAGTTGATAAATATATTTAATTTACAATAATATTATAAATATTTTTGTTTTCCTAAAAATATAGTTTTATTCCATTATTTGTTTAACAATTATTACAATATATAATATAATGTACACATATATATATATATATATATTATAAGTAAACACGTAGGTATATAATAATATTATGTATAAAAATGTTTATTTTTTAATTTGAATTTATTACACTCTGACCTTTGGAAATAATATAAGTTCATTAACCTAATAACTATATAATATTATAAATTAAGTCTTAAGTTTATTGTCTTTAGACAATATAATCAATTACAACAAATAAATTGACATCTTTAATTATTATGTTTGAAAATTTACAATAATATGGTTCCATGTTAACATTAAACAAATTAGAGTAATATTTTAGGTAACTGCAAGTTGAACATAGAAATGTAAATAAATAAAAAAATTTTAATAATTTATGAGTAATGTTTTAACCAGCAATACATGTTAACAAAAAACCATTAATTTATTGTTTACCAATAATTATGAAGAAAATGTTTTTCTTCTATCTAGTGTTTTCTTTGACAGCATTTTCGTTTTCCTGAAAAATATTAATGAGACAATTTTAACTAATTAGGTTCAGAAGTAACATTTTATATATTGAAACAATAGTAACAATTCAATAAGACCTTAATTAAATTAAATTGTAGATTAAATATAACTGTTCCTACCTATAATGTTATTAGATACCTATCTATATCTACCTAGTAAATACCTATGTACGTAATTTTTTATATGAAATCATTTTAAATTTGTATTCATTAATTTTAATTGGTATCTTATTCAAAGTTATAAATACTAGGATAACAAAAAGTTAAATAATTCATTAAAACGGTCTAATAAACAATCAAACAAAAAAGAAAGTAGCTATAATAAATTTTAAATAATAATGAAAAGTTTAATATTTTAAATGGATAAATTTAAAGTTTATACTACAGTTATCGTTAGGTCACGATTTAAGATAGGTAATACTATCTTAAATCAAGAGTTAGATTAAGGCATTGAGGTTTATATACAATATACCTCGATAGGTTGAGATTAACCCTTGGTAATGGGTTTCAGTGCCTGAAACATATACCCTTATGGTTTCATATTTTACGTGTCAGTTATTTAACTATGCGTAAATTATCGACACCAAACTGAACTAATACTTGTGTGTCTTGCGAAAAACAATTTATCAGATTTATCTACAGATATTATATTATATCAAAATGTCATTAATCAATTTTTCTCATTTATCGTCATTGTCAGTAAGTTTGGGAAGGTCATTATTGACAATTTCCGTGTTCAGCAAATGTTTACCCCATGTCTGTAAATTCAGTAGGTAAGTTAGGTTAAATATTTTTTTTTGTTAGTTTTTTAATACACTAACATAAATGTTTCGTTATTTATACTTAGCAGTTAAATTATTTAGAATAAAAATATGTATATTGTGTATATTCTAGCACAAATGATGCTGATCGAGAGAATATGTGTAGATCAATTAAATATTTATGTGCAAACGGTCCACATAAATTTCTGATGTAAAACTTATTTTGAAATTTATTTTTTATTATTGAAGTGTTTTAGTATTTTATTCAACAAACATAAATATTATAATGTTGGTGTGAAAATTTATTTTGAATTTTTTTGTTCTTTATAGGTAGATGTGAACTAAAAATTCAAGTTGAACAAATTATATTGAACATGTACAATTATACAACTATATATATGTATATATTTGGGAATGGAATTAAATTATATTTTAATTGAGGTTACATATACTCTACCAGCACAGATACCTCTACAGATACTATCTGTAGTTGACCAACAGTGAAAACTGATAGGTGCAATTCCATCAATTATAAGTACATTTATAAGGTCAAATATATAAATTTAATTGGTTATTAAAGTGATTGGTTACCTATCATTGGTCTTTGTTATGTGTTTTATTCAATATTTCCAGAAAATTGAGCTAGTTAAATATATATACATATATATATGTTAATGATTTATTGTTTGTATAGAAAAAGTTTCTATTGTTACATCATGATCAAATTACCCTTGGTTTATAGTTAACAATTTCATGAATATAAATTTGCAAACCATAATTCACACAACTATAGTAATAAGTATACAATTTTAGAATATCATATTTTCAATTTATGTAACTAAACATAACTCAGACTATATTATGGTATGTATTTATTTATAGATGTAATTAATTAATTTGAAATTACTTTTTGTAACTGGCGGCAAACTAACCTGAATAAAGAAATATAAAAAAAGTTTTTTGTTTTAATAAATAAGCCACTGAATATTTATTTTGTAATTTGTTTTCTACCTAGCCTCATGGAATAAAAATTTAAAATAAATCCAGAAATATTTCTCTTAATATTTTCAATTGTAAAATTTGTACTTATTTTAAATCATCAAGTGAAAAACTTTTTATTAGTTAACATTAAGAAACATGAAGAAAACAATTTTCAGAACTATTAGAAATTGTTAACAATTAGATAAACTTTTACTTAAACAAGTTATATTTATAAATTGTAATGAAAAAAGTACAATTAAATGGTAATTTAATGAAGTAAAAGTTCAAAGTTTTCTTCCATATTGTGAATAATCCCACAAATACCTGTTATATATTTTACAAATAATTTAATATTAAACTTTGAACTTTTATAACTTTTGTTTTAAATTTAGTTTAATATCAACATTTTTACAGATACTTTAGACTTATATTCATAATCACATAAAATTATTAATTCCATAATTATTGGTCCATTCACTACTCTAAATTAAATATTTCATAAAGATTAATGTAATTTGATAACAGCAATTTGGTGTTATTATCAAATTACAAAATCTCCAAAAGTTATTAAGTTATTTAGAATAATATAAACTTTTGTTATTGCAATGCAATTTATAACAAATTAAAGTTTTAATAATTATTAATAATATTGTTCATTAGTATTTTAAATAGTGAAACAAATCGAAATTATAAATGACCAATGGCTATTTAATAAAATTATAAACAACTGAGAGTTAATTAATTTGTATTTTATGAAGTGAAAAATAAATGTTATAAATATTAATACTATGATTATAATCTCACTTGTTTTAAGACTGATAGTCCAAGTTTTGCTGAATGATGAAATGGTAGACTCACTGAAATATTAGACACTTTGAGTTTTGGAATATGACCTGTATAACCAGCTATAGGTGGTAATTCAGGAGTTACTTTGTGATCTAATAAACAATGAATGATAATATTATGTTCAAATTAAAATTCAAAAATATGATTGTGAATTGTTTAAATTTTTTTAGATGTTTGGAATTAAGAAGGTGCTGGTTTTACAGCATAATCTTTTTTCAAAAACACCGATTTAAGATATTTTAAATAACACACCAAAATAAACCTATTGCAATTAGTTGAATTTAGAAAATTGAGATTAGGTTTTTTGTTGTTGAACGTTAATTTTTTTATCATAACAGACAAGAGTAGCCAAATTTGAATTAATAAACAGGTGTCATTGGGATTAATGTGTACATTTATATAGTCAAAGTGCTTAAAAAAAAATTCATTCAATTATTTGTTTGTTATTTTTATAGTATAAGTACATTGACATTAAATAATAATAATATAAAAGATACAAAAATCACTAAAGTACAATCAATAGAAGATTACATGAAAATTTTGAACCATTCCTTCTATGTGTGTATCTATTATTGTTCATTCTATGAACAATATAAAATTATACCGAAAAATACAAATATATATTTGTATTTTTAGTAGAAAATTAAAAGTTACATTGATAGAGGGACAATGTATGTTTTTCTTCAGATTTGTCTACACTTATGATAATTATTAAAACATTTACCTTTAAAATCTTTGCTTCTTTTATATTTGTTCAAAGTATGTTGTAGACGCATGTTAGCTTTATCAGGCACCATTTTTGGTGGCAAAAAGCGAACAGGTCTTTCAATTGCTTTACGACTTTGTTCCGACGATAATTTGACGAGCATATTTTCTTCACATTCCTGGGCTAGTCTACAGAATGTTTTTCCATACCGAAAATGCATCCCTGGTATATAACCTATAATATTAAATAAAAACTATGAATAATAGTTATGAAATACTAAGGTGTAGATTTTAAATAGATAGGTAGATAGCTACTTTATCTGTACAAACAAAAAAATGAAATATAAAAATTTACCGGTATAGCCCAAAATATATCTTTGATAAGTGTTGATTGATTCTTGTTTGTCAATATTAATTTTTAGATCATTTGAACTTGGTTTAGGAGGTAATTCATCTAACGGGCTATTTCTTAGGTACACGTTTTTCAAATCACATTGTTTTAACACTCCTTTTTCACGAAGTTCCTTAATTTATTTAAATATTAAATTATAGTAATTAAAATGTAAATTAATTTGTATTTATTTATACGTAGGTAGTAATAACATCATGAGCATATTTAAATAAAAAGGCACAATTTTTAATTTTTCGAAATTGTGTTTTTAAAACTATAATACACATTTTCATTCACAATTTACAAAATAACATTTAAAAGTCAAGTATTGTTTTTTATTAATAAAGCTTTTAAAATTAATTTTTGTTTGTGTTACTTTGTAAAATGTATAAAAAGGTCACCACTGTACCTTTTAATAAAAATACTTTTGATATTTATAAAAGTATAATAATTAGTATATTATTATTAAACCTGAATAATTTCTAAAGTATTGGCTCCATATCGTTTCCCGAAACGGAATTTCAATGTTGGACAATGACCAGTGTATCTATAAAATACAAAATTGAATACATTTTATTTAATAAAACTTTTTATAGGATTGTAATTTGTTAAAATAACACTAAAACATAATAATATATGACCTAGATATACATTCAAAAGTAAGTCACGTTATAATTATATACTGCGTGTATGATTTTAAAATTCTAATACTATCGATCATTTTTTATTTTTTAGGTCAACTTTAATGCTATAGAAGAAAAATTTAAATTTCTTATTAGTTATTATACTTATGCTCCAAATGGTGTATTTTGACTGTTAAAAGAAAATCCTAACTCTTAATGACAATAATTACAGCAAGTAAAATGTACCAATAGATTTTACAATTGTGCATTTTTAATGTTTTATTGAACATGAACAATGAATACGTTTCGTTATTATTTATTTATTTGTTGAAAATTGTATATGTGTATATTAATGCAATTTGATCAATATATAGCGATTGAAAATATGATTTTACTGGTTTTAGTATTTAGACAATTACAAATAAATTAAATAAATATGTTGATTGCCAAAAAATTTACAAAATATTGAAATAATCATAGTATATTTTAACATGCTAACTGTGAAGTAGGTGGCGCTAATAAAGAATTAGTTTCTCCTAGTGATTAATGGATGTGTCATCTCACCACCCCAGGCCCCAATCAGTTTGTTATTAATTTAAAATAAAAATATAGTGACTAATATTGAAGAATACATATTTTGTATTATTTATGTATGACAGTACCAGATATTTTTGAACAGAATATACTTTAAGGCAGTGTCACTAGTCTGGTATAAATAACAAACGTTGAAAATGTTAATTTCAACGTGCTTGATGACCGATAAATTCTAGCGATTTATCCAATTAAATATTATTCCACGGGTTTGTCTGGAATATGGGACCGATCATTACTCAGTAGCGGTGGATCAAACTATTATTTACAGTAGGGGGAAGGAGGGTTGCACATTTAAATCTAATATAGACACTAGGTCTATGTGACGCCGAATAAAAATGCCTAAAAAAACATAATAAACATACTTTTATTATGGGGTTAAATAAATACGATTTAAAAAAAGGATTATAGTTTACTAGGTACGCGATATATTTGTACGTTATCATTTTAAACTTCAGGAAACGCATACCTACTTTTACGTCAACTGTTTATTGTACCTATATTGGGCACATAAATATATAAATAATATAACGCAATGGCGGAAAGTGAGAGCGTACAGTGGCAGCATGGTACTACCAGGGCCAAACAACAAATATAACAAGCGGTTGACACGGCATGATGGAAAGGTTTACGTTTGGCTGAGAATTTCAACCAAGGCCAAGCGCGTAGAATTGTCGCATTTTTACGTTTAAACAGTTTAACAGTGTACACGTATAATACATTACACGCATACAGATATTATTATACCTATCTATCCGTATTAATTGCATGCTTTACGAAGCCCGAATTAGGTACCGCGGTTTATCGTTAAATCTGTAGGTATTTAATTGTACGAATTATTTTAAACTGCGATAGTACCTACCTACAGCGCTCGTATCGGTAGAAATTGAGTCGAGGAGCTCAATCCGACGATTTAAAAACTGCGTTCCGAGTGCACAATCACTCAACGAAGACCCGTGAGGGGGGGGAGTTTCGTCTCCCACACCCCGTTCCACCTTACCAGCATTTTGAATAGTAATTTTCGGCTACAAATATTATAATTCCTTATATATTTTGATAGCAATACCTACACATCCTACATGTTGCAGGAGAAAATACAAATTATATGAACATTGTACTCTGATGGTAATATTTTACCATTTTTGTTTTGTTGTTATCGCTTTTCTGCGGATAATGTATGTAACCACCATAGAGTAATTACTCAATGACAACCACATGGTCAAAAGTTTAGTTAAATAAATTCAGCTATGCGGTATCGTTCGGTTATTGTGGTATCGTGTGATAAAATATCGATATACCTGCCGTATGGTAAAAGAATATGGGACCGTGGAAAAGATGATAATATCAAAAACAACTTTGAAATTAAAAATAGTGAAATTCGTAACACAATTAACAGCAAATTGAAATCCACATTTTAATAAAAATTACCCCGTACATTTAGTTCGTGCCGTCCGCCGTTCCAGTAAAAAAATATAGTTGGGGAACGGAATAATCAAAAAAAAAAAAACTAGTAGAGGAGCCCCGTCCCCCTGCGCACCTACCCCCATTCGAGCACTGTCCACTGCAATTGACATTATCGTCTGTTGAACCGGGAAAAAATAATATCGACAACTGCGGCGGGTTTTCGTAGACATTTTCACATTTTTATACAATGTTGTTATTATTATTATTATTATTATTATTATAAATCGATAGGTAATACGCGTGGCCGAAAAACATAATACAAAAATTTACGAGAAAACTTCTACGCGGACCATTACTAATTACATTCGTTATAGGCGCTGACACAATTAGGAAAGTGAGATCCGCGAGAAAACCGCTCGGCGGCACAAGTGAGAGAAGTGGTGTACGTACGCACTCTTGGAAATTCGCCTCGTCTTATCATCGCGGTATCACGTCCGTTGATCCCGACGCGTAAAACGTTTTACGAACGAGGCTGCTATTATAAAACGGCATATTATTATAGTCAATTAAAATAACGAAACCGAGCGCGGCACGGGAATATTTCAACGTGTACGGAATCAAATCATCATAATATTATTGGATGCCATTTAGAAACGATTCCCGACTATTATTTCGCTAAAACAATATTCTCTGTGCGCGGATAATATTGTACCTATTATAATGTAATATAATACGCGCTCGCGATAAATTATTGTTTATACGGTTTTTAATTTTGTATGAAAAGTAAAAGTCATTCTTAATACTCACAATCGGTAGGTACCTATATATATATATATAAAAAATAAACGCACCGGCCGACCAACGTTTAACCGTGTTTAGTGAGTACTCGAACATAATATTTAATATCTATCCGAAACAACACTTGGACGTATCCGGGTAGCGCCTATTTGCGTGTACTATTTGGTGTCGAATTTGGCGGAAATCGTCATGATGAATAACTCGAGTAATGCACCTTGGAGGGATAGGTAACGCCGATTATGGAAGTTTTAAATATACCTACCTAGTTATAGTCGACTCATAACAGGAATAGGATATTATCATTGCCAAGGCCAGGGTCATATTTTTTTTTTGTTGTTTTTTTTTTCTTTTATATTTATGTTGTTTCAGGTATACAGCAATTAAACAAACCGGCTACTTGAAGTGAAAAAAAAAAACCTATTTGAACTCGAGCCTGAATAGGATGCACGGTTATTAATTATTTAGTAAGTGAAAATAATTATCATATAACTACTTAATTAACGCTATTAAAAATAACTATAAACAGTCAACAAATGATTTGTTTGAAGTGCTTAAATAATGAATACCTACCTATTATAGGTGTGTTAATTTACTCATAAAAAAAAAAAAACCATACATTTCACAAAGTTTAGAAAGATTCTACTGAATAGTAACTAAAAAAAATTGAAAAAATAGTGTTTGGCTTAAATTTCACTTTTATAAAACATTCGCATTTAAAATTATAATTTTGAAATATTTAAATTCTATAAAAGTTTAAAATTTTAAAATAAATACACTCTTAATTATAAATATAGGTTTAAAAATATTATGAATCACAACATAATATAGCATAGAGTCTAAATAATCTAGATAGAATCATTTTGATAATCCCGGGATTACATTCGAAATTTAGGATTGAAAAAAAGATAAATACATTTTGAAAATTGATTTTTTTTTTATCAAATATGTTTACGAACATTTTATAATATATCAATATTATAACGAATAAAATATAATATATTGCAGAAAAACATGAATAATAAATGTTTAAAAAATAGCAGAGAGAAAACAGTAGTTTTATTTTAATTTAAAAATGTATAAATTAAAAAAAAAAAAAAAAAAAAAAATGATTATGGGTGTACCGTAGAGGAAAGTTGTAAGAGAGAATATAGTATCACAGAATAATTTAATTTATATTTGTGAGCAACCATTACTGATAAAAAACGATTCTTATCAGATTATTATTAGCATTTTTTTCCCTTGTTGCCAATTTAACCTAGAAATTAACAAAAACTGTACAGCAAATTGTCAGATTCTAAAATTTATCGACTATTCAGACTAGTGACTATCCTGAAAATCCCGGGATTGTATCTCTACGACAGTAGTATCATACATTAATTGTATTTAGTCATATAGATAAACCTCTAACAAACTCGATACATTATTTAGTTTAAAGAACAAAAAAATATTATTCACACCATATATTTGGGCCATGTGTTACAGGAGGGGTGTTGAGAAGGTAAGATAAAAAAAAAAAAAATTAAAATAATAGAAACCGCATTTGTGTAAATATTTCCGGTTTTTTCCCATAATTAAGAAAATCAAAAAAAATGATTTTCTCAATACACTAACTAAACAAAATCCACTTCCAGAAGTCATTCCTGAGTTTGATAATCGGAGCAAGATTTGGAGTAGAAAAATGGTTTACAGACATACAATAAAAAACACACATTACAGTAAAACCAATGCATTCCAAGCTAAGAATTTAAATCTATATTAGACGTGTTTAATACATCGTTATTTGTTTGTAAATCCACAACTATTATAAAAGTGTTTTAATGAAACGGCGAAAATATTAATCAGCTACGATCCGTTTCGGTGAAAAAGTAAAATCAGCGTGCATAGAAATAAAGAAATTCGATTCAAAGTTTTGGGAATAATTAGAATCAAGTCGAAAACATAAACTTATATAGATGGTATACCTACTAACGATGAAATGCATATAAACTGACTATCCATAAGCGCACATTTTTTTTCTGTGCACACGTTAATTTTTCCAAAATATCCCTCAATTTACATGAAAAATTGCGTTGAGCTGAAGTAATAAACTGTACAGATTAATACCTTTTACATTTTAATAGTTTTAATAAGGGTCAAAGGATAGGAAATAAATCGTCCGCCACAACGAAAAAGGCCGTATCACACTTTATCCAAATTCTAATCAATAATCTCTTAGGGCGAATAGAAATACGATCTTTTTCGTGAGCGATGCTAAAAATACAGATACGACTTGAATCGAGCTACGAGCTTTTTTGTTGCGACAGGCGAAATTTAAAAATATTTGTATACTTTTATTTCAAAGAAATCGCACAAAATGATGAGTAATACAAATGTATAGTGTATACCTATACACAGTTATCACAATAGGTTACGACATTTAACTTAAATGTTAAATTATTATGCGTATGAAAATCGATTTTCCTGCGCAAAAAAACGTTCATAGTCAAGCTTTCTTTTTAGGTAACAAGCCAAAATAACATTTAAAAAATAAAAAAGTGAGATACGATCTAAACGAAAAAAAAACCCCCATAAAACTAGTCACTTTTTATACATACCACTCCTAACCTCGCACGTATACAATTATACGTTATAATTTATAACACACTATATATATTAAACACATTAACGTATACATACATACATATAATTATACTACAGGTGCCGTATCGATTTTTTTAATTTTTTTATTTAAATGAAGGGCATTGCAAAAGGCTTATGCAGGCTTATTATTATTTAAATTTTGAGGTTTTAAAAATGAAAAAAAAAAGTTAATTTTTTATGGACACGCTATAAGCGGGGTATTTTCTCTATATCTATACAGCTGTCTTGGGCGCACTGTCGCCGCCATATTATTATTACTTTATTTTTTTCGTTCGGTCCGATATAACAAACAATATAGGCCCAGCAATATATTATCGGTTAAATAAAGAAAAAAAAAAAGAACGGTATCAAAAAACCATCGAGGGGTGTACCGCCATCACGCGGAGAGATTATACCCATCATCACGGGCCATAAATGTTATATGCATCACTATGGCCGCAAAGAACCGCGACAGAAAAAACCGTAATTACAAAGAGGACGCCGTCATATCGAGAAATATCGACGAACGAGCGTTTCAAAATGTTATACCATAATGCAAAATACATTATACTGTATTAGAGGTACTGCGATAGAAGATGAGTCAAATACGATATAAGGACGATTAATCACCATCATCAACTGACGATTTTCCTCAGATATTAAATACAGATATATATGTACTGGTCTATTCGTGGCCGTATGAATTCACCGACAATTTTTATTTAATATACTTTTAATGATTACCTCGGATCTTTTTATATTGCTGTCAAACGCTAAATTAATATCGAATAAAACTGCCCTAGGATAACGGGGACGGATGCGGCCACTGTTATAGATGAGAAGTTGGGAAGGTAGTAGAGGGGAAATTGAATGTGCATCTGGAAGCAATGATAAACCATTGCTAACGAAAAAACGATTCTAAGCGGAGTTCGGTTGATAGTGTTGCCTTGTCACCAATTTACATGTCATATTATGATAAAATAATTAAATATGAATTACATATTTTCTTTAATAATATTACTTTAACATTGTACCTATTTTCCCGGTTTTTCTCATTTATTGGAATAACTCCCTGGGAAAATAAAAAAAATGACCATCCTAAATTATCTTCCCAGTCCGATTTCCTTTCAGAAAAAGTATTATCATTGTACACCGGAAAAAAATTACTGATAGAAAAGTTTTTTACATGAAAAAAAGGCCGTAATGTTTTACTAATATATTTCGTACATTTTCCGGGTTTTTCAAATTAATTGAGAAAATTCCTGGAAAAATCAAAAAAATGATCTCTCTAAAGTACCTCCCTAGTCGGATTTCTTTTTAGAAAAATGTCTATCATTATAAATTAGAGCAAAATTGATGGTAGAAAAGTTTTAAACCATAATATATTTTATCTAATACTCACATTTCTTATATTTTGTCAGTTTTCCTCAGTTTTTTTTTCTAACCATTAAGTATTTACGACTTTGATTAACATTGTGCTGTTTAATTTTCGAACATTTTAAATAGGCCAAAACAATTTTATCCACATTAAACAAAAATAAAAATTTAAAAATTTCAAATGACTGTAGTATAATCAGAAAAATATAGCTAAAATGTAACAAAAATGATTTGAAAATTTTACTTCGTTTATAAAGTGCTACAATATTAATATAAGTATCAGGTAAGTATATGTCAGGTCTCTATTTTAAACTGAATTAAAAAAAAAATATATAATAAATAAAAAACAATATTGAAAATAACAAAACCATTAATGCGATTATTTTTCCCATTTATTAATTAACTCCAAGGAAAATCAAAAACTGACGTAGATATTCAATATACCAATTACTAGACATAGTTTGTAACCAGAAACCACTCGTAAATTTGATGACTGGAGCAAGATTGCTAGAAGAAAAGTTATTTACAGAAAAAAAAATAAAAAAACAAACATTATAAAAAAATTCAATACATTCAATTCGCTTAAAATAAAAAAAATGTTATAAATAAATAGACATTCATCGTTTTTTTTACTGTATAACAGGGGTGGCTAAACGGTCAATCGTGATCGATCGGTAGATCGTGGTTGATTTAAATGTCGATCTCCATTTTTATGTAATAAGTAGATAAATATTAATTTGCTGATTATTTTTATCTTAGTATATTATCTTTATTTTGTTATAAATTTATCAAATAGTTAATAGAATTCAACAGAGTTTATCCTGACAATTGTATTTACAATAATATTATTTTAGTCTTAATAATAGTGTGATAAAAAACATTATTTAACTATACATTTTTGTTAGGAAGTCGATTCTCAAAAGAAAAATATATTCTTAGTAGATCTCTACCAAAAAAAGTTTGGCCCCTGCTGTATAAACTACGAAGATGACAAAGTGACGTTTACTCTTACGTTTTCTATACGGCGCGAGATTGATGGTAAAACATTTCTCGTGAGGATATTTTTTTAACTTACAAATAAAATCGGGTAAATTATATATAAAAAAAAAAAAGGCAACAGCAACGACACTGGGGAAATCTGACCTCTACGTACCTGAAGGCATAACAAAATTGTAAATTTGACCCACGTATACCGGCCGAGAACAAATAACGATTTATAAAATATCTTCTTTTTCTTCTTTTAACTTGTATAGCCCATTTAGGGCCTTCGCTGCTTCAACTATTTCCCGCCACCTTTCTCTATCTTTACTCTCCTCAAGTTTTGATCCTGGTGCACAATTTTGCTTAGGTAGTCCTCTAGGTCTTTTCCCATTTATTGTTTCTGTCATTACTTTTTTTTTAATATTCCATTGGGCCTCCATACACGGCCAGGCCATTCTGAACGTTTGCCATAGAAAATATAATATTAATTCATATTGTTTTTGATCCGTGGTTTGTACCGGAAAAAGAAAGTGAAATTTCTCGTTTATCTATTAATACGTTTTTCATCATTATGTACCGATCGACAATTTGAGTATAAATAACCCGTTGAATAATTATTTTAGTTTATAATGGTACGCGGTCACACCGCGTTAACTTTTTGACTTATTCAATTAAGAATAATCGATAATGATGGGGGGAAAAAAAAAAACCCGAAGAAAGCCGGTTTTTGAGAGATTAATTTTCAACAGTTATAAATAACATTATGATTATGATATTGTTCAATGTTCGTATAGGCATGGCAGGCATAATACAATATTATTATGCAATTATTACACGACAGTGGACATGCCGGTGTTTCACGGATATATTTCGAATCAAAATTCAAAACAGTGTCGACAGTGTCTAAACAGCTAAATAATCAATACGAACTACGCGCACGTAACGCGTATTCTTTTGTTGTAACATTTTACCAACGATTTTCTCGGAGAATTTCAATTGAATTGGATTTCGCGGGTTTTATTTAATCATTTGTGAACCGTTTAAGCGTTATTTTAACAACTAACCCAAAACAAGTATCCGATTTGGATTTGTAAATAGCAACTCGACTCCCTTTTAATCGCGTAACGTAACCAGCCGGATACGTCGGAAGGGAAACAAATCGATTCGATTTATTTCCGACTTGTCGGGAAAAAAAATTAGATTACTCGGTTCAAAAATTAATTGATGAATCGATGATTTTTTTTTTTTAATTTTCTTTCGTGTCATTCCCACTGTAAAACCCGTTCGGCGTTAACTTTTAAAAATAAAATAAATAAATAAACAATTTATAATCAATAATCATACGTTTTTATCGCTTTACGCATTACGCTGCTGGAACTTGGATACACATTGAATGAAAAAAAGCACACCGGTGCATCTCTATCGACACGTGGTATACACTAATAAATACATGTCAGAGTAGATAATTAGTGCACGGAGTCGGTACGTAATCGGAAATAATGTAGCCGCAAATATCGGATGGGCACACGTTGGTCGGGTCGGTCGGATCGGATCGGAAACGGCTCTACCGTAGGCAACACCCGCGTTTTAACGCCGCCGAAACACCCGAACACCCGACCGACCGTATCAACCCGATAGTGTATAATTTGTAGGCGCGATTAGGGAGGGGTAGGGATAAGCCCCACAAGTTTTCCGAATAGCACCCCCCCCCCTTCACGGTTACGACGAATGCAGTTGGATAAACCTGTTCATGTCTTATAACGACCATTCGTATTCGTTTTTACGACTACGATACAGCGCAATACGACACTATACTTTCAGATTAAAGCGAACGAATTCGTTTGCGGCCACAGCCCAAGTATTATATTTTGGTATATTTTTGAAAATCAATATTGGCCGTCGTCGTCTTACCTAACCTAACGATAATTCCTGCACGACGACGCAATAGTCGCCCCGGTAAATAGTAAAACGCTAGCACGACGGGAAACGTTTAAAAGAAAAATCCGGTCGAAAATCGGACAAGAACAGGACGCGAGACACCGTAATAATATTAGGAAGTTATTATAATATTATTTACGGGCGTGTGCGCTCGTCTCGGTTCGCTCGCCGTGTCTAAGGTGTGAATACCAATATGATAGGTATTGCGGGGTACCGACTGTTGTACTCTGCAGTACGGGTGTTTGAATTCCAAAAGACAACGCGTTAGGAATTTTACTATTATCGCAATCGGAAAAAAGAAAAAAAAATGTAAAAAATTGTTAACCGTTATGAGCCGAACTCGCCCCATCGCCCACCACCCACCTCCCGTCGCCAAAAACGGGATAATACAATTGTGTTCGTTTAAAACGAGCGTTTTAAATTTTTTCTTTCCCCCCCCCCCTTTCTCGATAGACTACAATATTAACAAGCGGAAAAGTTAACAGCAGAAAAACAAAAATGCGATGTTCAATAGCGATGATTAACGAACGCGTGCTGCCAATTTCGAACCGATATTGCGTTGATCGAAAATATAGAAAAGTCTCGGTTAGATGAAATAAGAGCGCGTCGAGTAAAATCCCTAACGAGTTCGGGCACGGATCCAGAGCAAAGATCCGGGGGGAGGGGCGGGGGTCCAACAGTTTTTATCCAATACAGTATAATGTATTATTAATGGATTTGACAAAAAAAAAAAAAAAAAAAAAACGGAGAAACAATATGTCTGGAGGGGGGGGGGGCGTGTGGGTCTTCTGTCCCACTGGACCCGTCCCTGAACGGTTATACAATATTCGCGTGCGCCCCGAACGGGAGGAGTGACAAGTAATATCACTTATTCGAGTGTCGGTTAAACCCTTCGCCCACTGCATTTCCAAAAGAATTCTCGGAATTCGATCGGCAATTAATCCGGATAATAATCGCGATGTCAAACATCCCGAACACCTGTACTAAACCCGTTGTATGCGCGGTCGATCAATCGATAACCGACAATCGACCAATCGTTGTTTGCGTACACGCGCGAGTAAATCACGGGCACCCGTGACGATTGAAACCGACGCGAACGAAAACGGCCAGGGGCAGCGCGCGTCAACCTGTGCGTATGAAATAACATTGGCGGCGGTCGTATCTCGACCGCGAAATATTGGCCAGCACGTGCGAGTAAATCAATAATGACATTTTCATTAATGTCATTATTATTTCGAATATCGCGCTTACAAATTTGTTTGTTGTTGTTGTTGTTTTTTTTTTTTTCCCCGGCGAGCGCGTTTTTCGTATTACACGTTCATATACAACGGCGGGTAATACTGCGCTGTTCGTATAACCGACGGCGTGCTATTATTACATGTTTTTTTTTTTTTTTAAATAATTTATACACCTACCCGGGTAGATCGGGCACGTAACAACAACAATCGTGCGGAAACATAAAACGCACAATATCAATACGTGTCTACCGAAACGTATTAAGATTCGAATTTCGTAGACGTTATTTACACCGCACATTGGCGTTACGCGACCGTGTGCACGTTTCTATTGATTTGCCCGTATTGTAGGCAGGCATGTACAATAATATCAACGCAAATTCATAATGGTATAATGTAAAATATAATACGACTAAACATAAAACTTACCCCGGCAAAAGTGCGCCGTTAGATTGACTAAAAAGCTTTTCTTTTTCCGTTTTGGTACATTCGATTACCATTTCAAATCCGTTTGCGGCTAATTTATACCGGATTATTAAAACGAAAAACAAACGCGCGAGCCTTTTTACGACGCGTCGAGGTGGTGAACGATTTATTATTATTTTTGAATTCGCAAAAATACTGGTAAATATAATGTTATAATAATGTTGTGTAGGTAGGAACGAAAAACAATAATTTACACGGTTTGTACTGGATACTTTTTTTTTGAATAAATAGGCATACTGATATCGATTGAAATACGACCGACCGGCAAGGTTCCGCGTTGACTTACATCTGAGCGGTGAATTCTCTCGGTATTCGTAGTTCCCGTAACGAATCTACCGCGCGGCGCGCACAATGGGTCGCGACTCGCAGTCGCGGGGGTGAACCGCAATAACAATATGCCTTGCATTACATGCCTCGTTATAAAGTGGCGCGATCTCCCGACGCGTTCGTTAAATTCCGTGACACGCGCAACAAGTGATGATCATTAACAGCGAAATCACAGGTAACGCGAAATTGTTTGATACGCGTTATCAGTTATTGTATGATAATACAATGAATATTATCGTTATCGTAGAACAATGCGTCAATGGCCACCCGTCTAGTCAATGACTCCTCGGTTTAGAAAGCGGTCATGTGTTATTAGCACCATTTTACCGACGAAATCGAGTGTGCCTGTCGGTTGCCGGACACTGCGAAATCGGGTATTTATGGTTAATACGTCACACAGACGTATTTTTCCTAGAAGCTGCTGCCCGCGCATGCGTCGCAGATTTTCAGTACCTACGGGCTACGACTTGTAAATAATAGAATTTCGGTGATTTAGTTGAGTTTTATTTTTCATAGTTATATCTATGATTCTATTGCACTAGTGTATTATTCATAATACCCAACAATATGTAGTTTGAAAAATACCATCAAATCGATTATTATTTAATCGTTTTGCTTAATATATTGATTCTGGTTCAATCTAACAGGGTCGATATCGTTGTAATGAGTTTTTTTAAGTACTTGTTGGTGTCATTCGTACTCCCATTTATATTATATTGTGAATGTCTGGATAATGGCAAGTATATTATTTTAGTGTATTATTTTCTGTGAATATATCTTGTGATTAAATAACAAATTATTCCATTTAATTACCTATTGTACCATTTAAATGATGAATACGTTGTTCAATTATATATTCCATATGCCATAAATATTGGATTCTTTAATTTAAAATGGTTTAAATGTACAGTATTGTTTTGTTTTAGATTTGGATGAATTTATCAACGTCAATACTAGTGTACAATTAATAACAAGGTTTTCTCAAAATCTAATCCATGGATCAATATTGTTTTCTCAACATACCTCGATTGATGATATTATTTTAATTTCCGTTTCATTAAATAATTTTGGAGATTCTTCACAATGGTCTTGGCAAATAAATGAGCTACCTGTTGATTACAGCATTTTAACTGATCGGTGTACTGATAAAATCCTTGGAAATAAGTAATAATAATTTGATTCTTATTTCATTCGTTTATTGAAAATTTAAACAATAAATTGTGTTTTTTCATTTATAGATTATTAAACTTTGATGAGACATTTGGATCATTAACATTAGAAAATAATACAAGACTTCAGTTTTCTATATCAAAATCTATTCTCGAACTTACCGGTCCTTTGGGAATTTGGTACCGATCATTAGTACTTAAAAACAATGCTGGAAATATTATTTGTTCAACAATTATGGTATGTATATTTTAATTATATTTTTACACTATTAATTTAAAATGGTACCTAGCTAATGTTGTGTGTTCTTGTATAAATATTTTTACCTTAAATTTGTATTCTGTAACTAATTTGAATTATATTTGTGTAATTGTATGAGTTAAATTAGTGGTTCTCAATCGCTTTTGAAACTACCACCCCCTGAGGAGCAATATATTTTTCATCGCAACCCCCCACCCTTAATAAAAATAAAAGTAGTATGCATAAACAAAATTAAATAACAAATATAAAATGTTTAAGTACAAAATAATATACAATGAATAAATACAATATCGAATTGGATAAATGAAATGTTTTGAATCAATTGTATTAATTAGTAAGATGTGAATTTAACTGTTAAATATATGATTGCTTAAATTAAGTATTTATTCATTAGATAAAATTTATCCAAGTTTATATTAAAGAACTTGTAGCTCTGATTGAGACTAGGTAAACTAATCCATTATGTCCTTCTGTATCCATATGGTAATGTAAAACTTTTTTTTTCAAAATATTTCACCATAATTTCAGATGTTGACCTTTTCTATCCTGGTGTTACCATATGGTAATATCAAAATGATGTAAACTTCAGATTTAATGGGTTAAATTATTTTATTAGATGTTTTGAATATTGAAATTATTTATTACAGCGCCATTTGCTTCATTGTCATTTCAAGTGGTTCGGCTTTTTCAACACATAAAAACTTTATTTGATTTATTTATTAAACTTTTATTAACATAATATTATATTGACATAGGTGTGTATAAATTAAGTACATTGATTTTATTAAAAATCATAATTTTAAATAGGCAAAAGAAGATTCTGCATTGCGGGTAGCTGAAGCAAAGTTTCAAACTCGATTTTTTGGCAGTATTTATATCTCTTGGGTTGGAATATCTGGAAGTTTAATGGATGCTGTGATAATTACTAATCTTGAAGATAGAAAAAGTTTAAAAACTGAACTCACCACCAATAATTGGAAAATTTTTTCAACTGATGTTCTTGAAACTAAATCAGGTACGTAAAGTTATATGCAATTAATGACACACAGAGTCAAAGACTTAAATTTGAACCTGAAGATCCTAGTAAAATGCCTACATGCTAGTTAAACTATTGTTAGCTATGATGAAACAAATTTAAAATACCTTTATAAGAGGTAGTACTTGGTTAAATGTAGTAAAATGTTATTATAAAAGTTTTGAAAAAAGGGATAAACTATTGGAAAACAAAAATTACAGTATAATTTAATATCTATACTTTTTTAATATATTTACTCTTTAGTTTGGTATATCTAATACTAAATATAGTAAACAAATTGGTAATTTTGTAATTTAACTTTTACTAAAAATAATTGAATTTTAAAAAAAGTTAAAGGCTAGGTATTTAATTTTGTAAAAGTACCTATTGGACAGTTTAGTCCAAAAAAGTATAGTCAACATTATTTTTCAGATAAATCAAAACTTAATTGTGATGCTCTACAGATTTTATATGATCCAGAATCTACTGGTTTGGGTAATTTAGGCGCTCGTCTTGGACCTGTCCATATTGGGAAAAAGACATTAATTCGCGATAGTAACCTCGCGGCATTCGATATTGAGTATGAGCATAGAGAGTTATATATGGTTATATTTGATAGTGATCGCACTGAAAATATTTTGGACTGTGCGCAAATCAATCTGAAAAAAAGCATTACATTCAAGTAATAATATAGATTGTACTTATTTAAATGATTACATAAACTGAAAATATGTAACTATATATTTTATTATAGGGGTTTTGTGAATGATACAAAAATTAAACTCGAGTTGACTTTATGGCAAAAATCTAAATTTGAAGTTACTAATGTTTATAGTAAAGCTGAAACAATGGAAAGTGATATTGCTTTAAGATTGCATGAAATGCCACAAATTCCAAAAACATATAAAACTCCATTAAATATAAATAACAGTTGTTTGGGTATTGGTAATATTTTTAATCCAACTGGTAAATCATTTCCTGCTGCAGCTGAAAGACTAACTCAAGATCAATATGCAATTGGTGACCTAAGTGGCAAATACAATTATGAGAGTTCCAGTTGGGATGTGTTTTTACCACTATTTGGAACAAATAGTGTTATTCATAGATCATTAATTTTATACATGTAAATGACAAGTCTTTATTTTTTAAATATAGGAATTAATTTTATTAAATTGTTAATTTTTTTATTTTAGAAATAAAGAAATGTGGACTTGTACAACATTAATACCATATATGGGTCCCAATTCCCAAATTAAAATTTCTTACATTACAGCAGAGGCAATTTTCCGTTATCCTCTAGTGGGTAGGATTGTATTTCGGCAACTAATAGATGTTGGAGCTACTGAAACTATTGTGATTATTGAAAGTTTAGTCCATGCTGATGGTACTACACTTAAAAATTCGGATCAACATAGATGGTCTATAAATGCACAGCAACCTGGTAAAGATTTTTATAGTTGGATGGATCGATGTAAAAGTGCTGGCCCTATCTATGATCCTCACAAGGTATTATTATTAGATTTTCATTTAAAATCATAAATTATTAATATGTTTTCTATAATATATTTATTAATCATCTTTAAAATTAGGTTGTCAAAAATAACATGACATCTTTATGCAGTAGATCTCTTAAATACTGCAGTGTAGGCGATTTATCTTCTCGTATAAATAGCCTGTCAATAGCTGGTAATAAATTAAACTCAATAGGTATAAGTAGACAAATGTTTGTGGATGAGTATATATCGTTGTTTGGAATAAATTCAATTTTCGGTAAATCACTCGTGATTTATGATGATCATGGGCCACAAGCTCGTGGAGATCGTTTAGCTTGTTCAAAGTAATGTTATCAAAGTACAGCTTCTTTTACAATTAAAGACATGGTGGATGTATTTCAAAATTAACAAAACTTGCATGATTTTATTATTTTTTTACAAATTTCAAACACAGTAGTAGAAATTATACAACAGAAAAATGTTAAACCTAACATATATTTGTAATTCTATAATATTAAGAATAACATTACTGAATGAAGTAGTGTTAAGTTATTTTTTAGAGAAGGGTGGTGTGTATTCAAACATAATTAGTAATAAACTAATAAAATAAAATTTATTGATATTGTAAATATTTTAAATACAGTCAAAATCACTTAAATAAAATAATATGAATTTTAATTTAATACTTATAGATTTTTTTTTCATACAGTTAATAATAAAACATTTATAAGTTAATATTTTTACTTAACTTAACCATGGATACAACAAATACAATTAAGTCTAATGAAGTTAATTTTATTTGATTTTGACTATAGTGTATTATATATTTTATAATTTTTAAATTAAATATATATATAAAATATTATATTCTTAATGGTATTGGGTTTAAATTATAAATATTTTATAAAGTTTAAAGATAGTTAAAATGTTTGAATAAAAAATTTGATAATGTCTATTATAAATTTTAGGATTGAAAAAGTATGGCACCGAAAAGCAGTAATTAAGGATTGGTATAGCAATAGTAATGTTATTTCAGTATCTGGTAAAATTGAATTGTTTCAACAAACTGAGTATGATCCGGTTGATTTTGAATTTAATCTACAAGGTGTACAAGGTGGAAATGATTATTATGTTTATTCTGTAAGTTATTAATATTTTTTATTGAAAACTAAGTAAATATTTTATAATCCTATATTTATTGTTTAATATTTGTCGAACTAGAATCCAGTTGATGGAAGTTTAGATTTACCATGTGAAGGTTCAAATTTATATGAAATTTGGGATCCATGGGATAATAAAAATACTGAAGGTTTACGATACGGTGATTGGAGTTTACGATTTGGTTCAATAAATGGTGCTAGGACATTGTCTGCTATTGGCAATGATACCAAAGTTCAGTTATTTGGTCAATTAGTATATTTAGGTCGATCAGTAGTAATACATGGTACACCTTCTAAAAAAAGGTAAACACATATTTTTTTTTATGTTATTCACTTGAATGTTTAATTTTAATTTCATGCAGAACTTTGTGTTTATAGATTAGTATGTTCTACAATAGAAAGAGGCTACGCTCCATCTGAAGCACGTGAAATAAGAGCAATGGCTTCTTTTCATAACCCAAATGGTTTTCTCTATGGCTATATTCGAATGGTTAGTATTCAATTAATTTATTCAATAATTTATAGGTTTTAATTTTTTTTATACATGTACATTTCAGACCCAATTAGTTTATAATGATGGAACTAAAAGTGACACGGTAATTGAAGTTAATTTACATTATCCTGGTTCATATAACAAGAATATGGTGAGTTTTATAAAAGACAAATATTTAAATTGAGTTTGTTGTATTATAACTAAAGAAAAATTATTTTCAAGACAAAAGGTCATAAATGGGCTGTTTATGTTAATTCAGTGGGTATAGATGCAACAGTTAAAGACCTTGGAACACGATGCACGGCTGCTGGATACATTTGGAATCCTTATTATACTCAACTGGCTGATCCATTGAATGTAAAGCTTTTGTAATACTCAGTTCGTTAAGGTTAAAAAAAATGAATTAATTATTTTAAATTAATAGGTAAATCTTTATGAAAATGAGTGTGGGCCTGATCAACCTTTACGTTGTTATGTTGGAGATATATCTGGTCGTTTGGGTAATATTGACATTGGGTCACATTCAATGGTATTTTCTGATCCAAATTTACCTTTAGGTAATAGTTTATATATTATATTTAAATATATATACTATGAAATTAACTCTAGTAAAATGTGTTTATAATTAATATATAATTGTAGAAGGAAGCATTTCAGCAGTTGGTAGATCAATTGTAGTGTTTGCAAAAAATGGTTATGAAAAACTTGCATGCGCCAACATTGAATATGATAAAGATATCATAAAATATGCCAATGTAAGAAAAACTACCAAGTATGAAACAACAAACTTTTTTGAATCTGTTCGAAATGTAATGGGAGTTCCAGATTGGATGTTAACCGTAGATAGTAGAAAAACCAAATTATTATATAATGAAGCTTGTATCCAGTATCTGGTACACTTTAAAGGTAAGTTTACCCCAGTTTTTAATAATTGAATGGTCATACTAATTTTTTATTTTACTAGGAGCGATAGCTAATGATTTAGAATCGGACTTCAGTAAACTCTTAGCGATTGGCCAGTTGCCTGCGCAAACATTAAGAATAAGTGGTTATTATCCAGTTAAAGTTGAACTAAGTATTCCTTATCAAGGTTGTCCTGTATACAACAAAAAATTAGCCTCTAGTAAATATTAAAATGTTTATCTGTATGGAACTAACTGATTTATATGCACTTAAAATCCACAAAAAATATTTAAAAAAGTAAAACCAATAGAGTGGTTTAAAAGAAATCCCTTCTTATAACTCTAAATAATTAAATACAATTTTGCAACTCTACAAAAAAGATAAACATAAAGTAATTTGTTTAAATTTTAAACAAAAATGTATGTATTATTCAATAAATTATTTTATTACTAAATACTTTACTAGTACTCAAAAATTTTATAAGTTAAAACCATTAAAGGAGATAGGGTTAAAAAACCCCTCTACTATTTTTATTTTTAAAGGTTTTTTTTTTTTTTTTTAAACACCTTTTTTTATGAATTTTAATGACATATAAATCTGTTCATATTTATTGCTAATTTTGGTACAATATAATCTTATTGTATGACTATTTATTTGCTTTAGATATATCATCTGCGGGGAAGTGGATCAAAAGCAATTATTTAGCTGTAGTGGCAATTATTTTATTTAATATTATACCATCATATTATTATAGCTAAATTCCTTTATTTTAAGTTAACTATTTTTTTTTCATCTCATTACATATCAATAATGTCATTATATTATTCTCATAACATAATATTGACTACTATAATTATTTAAAAAATGAACATATAAATAAATATTGAATTAAAATAATAGTTATGCCCAGTAAATAACTATATCAAATAATATAGTTAATATAATATAGTTTTTTTCCTAACATATAATTTGAATTTAATTACAGATTACAATATTATGCTTTATTTTATAATTCCATTAAAGTGTGTGTACAGTATGTTTTTTGCCTAAAAACATGCTTTACAGAATTAAATCTCCTGTCTTGTACAGTGGTCCAATTTTGATAATTTTTTACTTTTTTGGAGATAAACATTTTATACAGGGGCCTATAGGAAAGTTATACTTCCAAATACTTTCATGAGTGTTCTTTGAGTGTGACCAATTTTTACTATTTTTAAACTTTTTTTTAGTGGTTTTTGGTTACATAATCAAAAATCAATTATTAAAAAAAATTAAAAAGCAAAATCAGACAGGAGAGGTAACCCGTTAAACAACTTTTTGAGCAACAAAAAAAACTAAATGTTTTATTTTTCTGATGGACATACTGTTGATATGTTTATGAACGTAATGTATGTGATTATGGTGGACATTAACAAGCACTACAATGCCCTGCCGCACATAATATCGAAAAACAAATATTTCAAATGTCTGTATGCATATTTATTTATGGAAATGATTATAAATGACCAAATAATACGTTTTTAACAAACAGGTTTTCTAATAACTGCAATATCATAAAAATACATTTCTTTTATATACAATTCATTCCATAATATGTATGATTTTAATGAAATTTTATATTATTTTCAAATGATTCCTTTTTGACAAAACACGAGCCATAATGTAATCCATATCTTAATATTATGGTTTTGCTTATTTATTTTAGAACAAATATTTATTCATATGTTTATTTTTTCATAATGATTATTAAACATCACATTTTTATTATAATTAGTTTTATTTGTATAGAATTTATTTATGTAAAATATAATATTTTTTTTTTCACTTGTTGTTTATTGAAGAACTTATAAATACTTACCTACTAGATAATATTTATTCGAACAAATGAATTCCTAAAATCTGGTCATTCTTGGTGAGTTAATATTTTAATTAAAAAATTATGCTGCTCAAAAATTGTAAACAATTCATTTTTATTTTTAAATAATGAATTGAAGATATGTTTGTTTTATTTTCGACCTTAAATATTATTGCCTTTTAAAACATGTATAATTGAACTTTGCTGTGAATCGTTTATTTTTTTACATTTTTTCATCATTGGTTACAGATTTAAGTATCAGCTCTTTTATTTTTTTAATTTATATAAAATTATATTATTCTTGTACCCATTAGTTATTAGTTATTATAAAAATATATATTCTTGGAGATAACCAAAAATAGTTTAATAATAAGAATAATAATACTATTGTATATATGTATTCACTCTGTATAGCCTAAGTAGATTTCAAAATTTATTGGGTATTATTGATTATTATTGTAAACTGATAATTAAATAATTATCTGCTTTTTCTAGCACAATCATACAGTGCACACTACGATAGTCTAGAAATCGACTAGTTTGCGTTATTTGTAATATTATATTCACTGCTCTTTTTATATTAGTTGTAAAATTGTTCAATGTTTTATGCTTTAAATCTATGAATGCTAGATTATACACCCACCCCTTAAATTTATTGTGGCAGTTAATACATTGGTCAGTGCCACTCATAACCACAATTTTGAAAGCACTTGGTTTTTTTTTAATATGCATCCAATATGGAAGCTATACATTGGTGTAAATAGTGATGAGCTAGTTTTCTAAAACTCACGAAAGCCTCCCCCCTTAAATTAAATCCTTATTAAGTGTATTTAATTGTGTTGGGTTTAAGCTATTATGACCTACATATCCTATAAATTTATATTTTAAATAAATGTATAGTTTTTCTAATGAATTTTTCAATATTGATATTTTACCACTAAGTCAAATTTAACATGAACCTCAAATTAAATTTTCATTCATTTATGTTAATTCAAATCATTTCATTCATAGAATATCCTTAAAATAAAAATTATTAAGTATTGTGTGAAAATTTCAGCATTTCGGTAATTTTTTACTTATTTTGGTTTTTAGTAATACACATTTTATATAAAAATAATGTATGGAATTCATCCTATAGGAAAGTCTAGGATCTAAGGGCGCTACTGCATCAAGAAACATACGCTTTAAAATAGACAAAGGTAATTATTAGCACTAGTAAGAAAACTAGACCATGGACTGAGATATCTTAGTCCGTGGACTAGACATAATAATATACCTACCTATTAATAATTCTAAAGTACTTTTAATCGTTAGGTTATAACCATATAGTATAATTTAAAATTCTAGTTGGATTTATTTTATCATTATTTCAATTCCAAATGTGATCGCCATACGTCATTACGTCATCGACCTTTGTGTTATTGTTCGCACTTTTCAGTTTGGTGTAAAATTTATTTCTGCCGTCTACTGAAACGGAACACGCCGGCGCGTGTAGTGGCGGGAATTCGAGTGAACACGAGGTAACTGTTTTGGCGGTCGTCTTGGAGAAAAACGCCCCCGGCGTCGTTTTTCTTCCACGGTTTCTCCGGTCTCTGTCCTCGTAATCACATAAATCACGTGATAACGGAACATGTGACCACGTGAGGTTGTGGCCGATTAACGAAAGTCGAGACGATAATGTTATTCTGATGATGGTGCCGCCGTTGCAGTGCTCATCAGTCATCAGTGACCAAGTAGAAAAGGAGAAGAAGGCGATAAAAACAACACAAAACACTCGATACGACACAACAACGGGACTACGGGAGTCAATAATATAAATAATCACAGTCATCGTTCGTTCGTTGCTCACACGTCTTCGTGTTGCTTGTTAAAAACTCGGGCGCGCGCGATTACATACATATATAATTTACCAACACGTTCTCGCGCGTTATCGTCGTATTTATATATTTTTATGTGTACGTGCTCGCACTATTATTCCGTTCGGTACATAAGTTCCTAAATAAAACGTTGATCTTCGGCCGGTATAACGTGACAATTTACGAGACCGTCGTCGGGATAATACTGTTTCGTTTATATACCCTGACAACCTCGTGAAACACCGCGTCCGCTACCGTAAGAAGTGCCGTGTCCGTCGTCGTCGATTACCGTCGCCGCCGCCACTGCTCAACTTCAAAACAAAATCAAAACCACTACCTAGTTACTAGTTACCTATTACTATAATATACCGTTTACTTCAACTCAAGAAAAAAAAACAAAACAAAATATCGCTCGTATTAGAGCTCTTATTGGGTAAGTCTAATAATTAAAAATAGGTAGGTTGTTCCTACTGTACAGTATTTAATATCATTAACTTGCTTTCCATTGGTATTTTAATTTTTACGTCGTTTATGAATTATTGTTTTTTTTTTTTTATTTTTAATATTTATTAATTTTTTCTTTTGTAGGTAAATTTTCCTTGACCTGGTGTTATTGTAGTTTTGTCTCATAGTTGTTTTTTTTTTTTTAGTTGTGTTACAATCAATTTATTTAATATAGTTAAACGCACTGGTATTTGTACATGTACATAAATACATACTAAACAAGTTTTACCATAGTGCTTATTTTAGTCATTTTAAATTCACCAAAATGTCTTCAGACTTTTTAGAGCTTGATTTAGAGTAAGTTTTCGATTGCTTTGAATATTATGTCATACATTTGTTCATGTTTGTACTAATCATTGTTTTTTGTAGGCGGCCATCACCAAAGGACTTGTTCAATGATCAGTCTCCAACATATACCATGGCCGAGGTATTAATTGACGTTATTATTTTTGATCTCATTATCATTTAATCATCATTAATATTTTATTGTTTATTGGTTTCAGATGAATGAGATTGATACTCAATCCAATTTTGATTATGTTTTAAATTCATATTATTTACCGTAAGTTATTTTTCATTATTTAATGTAAATCATTTGTTTATTAATGCAAGGGTCATATGCTTCGTTGATAAAAATTCTACCAAATGCAAATAGTTATCACTATGTATAGAAGATTTATTGAAATTTAAATGAAATATTTCTTTTTCTTTATAAATTACATACACATTATAATCCAAAGATAATTTAATATTTTCAGTATTATAAGCGAATGATATTAAATTATAGTTAGGTATAGTAGCTAGGAACATACTTAAAAAATACAAAAATATTTAAAGTTTACAATTAATATGTTAGTAACTATACTCCGTTTCAAATAAGAATACATCCGGCGGCGGACGATAATCAGTCAAAACTCGTGCAGTCTACTAACATGATCAATTATAGAGCGAATAGACTCAGCCAAGGGGGGCAGGACGTTGCTCCGAGATACATTTAGATGCTCTGAGAGGTGTGTTCTTATATGGAACGAAGTATAGTTACCTATCTTATTTTAATAATAAGCCCAACGTTAATATACATTTTTCAGAAATTTTAAAGGAGGTATTATGTATAATATGTATACATAGGTTTTTTTAAATGTTTGAAATACTTAATAAATAGGTAAGGTTTCGCTATTCTTGATAATTTATAGTTTTTAATCTTTTTATAACACAGGAATTTTAGTTTTGTATGATTTAATAAAAAAAAGTTTACATTAAACATATATCAATAATTAATTCATTTTAACATTTTTTTTATTTTAAATATATTTTAATTTAATGTATACATTTTAGATTATATTTTATTATTATTTAAATTCAGTATTCAGTAAAACACATATATTATAATATTTTTATATCATTTACTCAAATGTATGAAATCCAAAATAGTAATTTTTGAATTTTAACAAATTTTGCGTGAACAGGTATAATATAATATACATAATATACAAACTGTGTTTTGTGTAATATTTAATGTGACTGTTGAAAACCTAGGAAATTTATCATGTGTTATTCAAAGTGTTCAATAATATTTACTTTTAGTACCTAAATATATATATTTTCTTTTTAGTTTCAATTAAACTAAATTAAATTTTATTTGTCAAACATAGTCAAATTAATTATAATTAAAAAATATTTGTAACGTAAAACAAACTCTTTTATTAGACAAGAAAAATAATGTACAATGTGTAATGTGGTTAGGTGAGAATAATTTGTTGTAAAATATTACATATTTAAATACTTATAATTAATACTATTTTTATACTACAAAATAACTATTTGGGTTTATTATTTAATGACTTATGGATTTTTTAAACATATGTGGCCTTCAAAATTTAAAGAAAATGATATTCTGGTATTAAGTGTCTTAATTGATCTGATACATCAATTTTTGTTTAAAGTTTTGTATATATAATAATGTTCTTCGAGTTCTTGATTAAAATATCTAAGATTTTGGGATTTATATGCTGTTATGAATACTTTCAACCTTAAGTTATTAATAATTATTTTACAATTTTTATATTTTATTGAAAATGTATTTCCTATTTTCATGTTATGTGGAGCTTAAATTATGATTATAAGTCTAAATTTAAATTCATGATACATATTATAATATTTAGTATAAAATAATGTATTTAAATGTATGTTTTAGGGTTAACCAATATAATACAGGATTTGAACTTCTAGATGATTGTAAAAATATGAGTTTTTCAGAACTATTTGATCAAGAGCTATTTAGTTCTCATGGTATAAATTTAACATCAATAATAAATATATAATAATTATTAATATCAAATATAAAATTTCAGAAAATAAAGACTGCCAAATTACAATTAAAATTGAGAATGAAAATTCATTAGACCCATGCTATTCTGCTGATGAATCGCAAGATATTACTGATAATCACATATTAGTGAACACCAATGAAGAAAATCTTTTCCCGACAAAAAGTTTTATTCCAAAGCCAGGCATTAATAGGACTTTCATTAAACCTGCTGAAAATAGTGATGTCACAAATCTTTTATACAATCCTTTTTGTGATACAGATGATTTTAGTATTAATAAAATATCGGTTAAAACAGCCACTGAAAACAGTAAACTCGATGTCAGGAATACTATTCAACAAAATATGGCACCTGTGGTAAAACAAATATATTGCCCTGTAGATAATTCACAAGGTATTGGTAATAATCTACACTTGGAAAAGTCTGAAGACAGTGTTTTGTCCTCGTCAAAAAGTTATACTTCTAACCAAGGCAATAACAACATTTCTAAAAAACCATCTGCAAATGATGATATCATACAAAATTCTCTCTGTGAAACAGTGAATTTTGGGATTGATATTATGAATTGTGCACCTGAAAATGTCAATAGATTTATTGAACAAAATGCTGTTCCATTAAAAACACAATCAAAAAATTATACTCAAAGTAATTCACTTATTAAAGAGGACAGACACAGTTTGGTAAGTGTTAAAAAAAAAGTTCCTTCATCATCATCATTAACATTGAACATTTTCCCTAAAAAACTAAAAATTGATAGAACATCTATAAATATCATTAAAAATGTTAAGCAACCTGTACAAAATTCAATTGGCGAACTAGAAAATACAGGTATTAATCATAAGTCAACAAAAGTAAGAGGACCTACTGTAAAGCGTAAACCAAAAGATGTCATAAATACTATTCAACAGAAAACTTCTAATTCGGGGGGAAAATCATGTTATTCTAATGATAATTTACAAAATTCAACTGATAATCATAATTCGGTAAAATCTGAATTTTTTAAAAGTTGTACTTCAAAACGTCAAAGCAATAAAAAAATTTCTTCAAAAGCCACTGAAAAAAGTGATATTAAATATTCTTACAACACTTTCGATAAGCCGCAAGTTCTTGGTAATGATCAAATATCAGGAAAAATTAAACCTCATATTTTAAAACGTAAACCTGTGTATGCCAATAATAAGGATCAAAATATTTTTGAAATAAAAGTGAAATCATGTACTGACAATTCGCAAAATACAACCAAAAATCAAAACTTCGAAGAAATATTAAATACTTCAACACCAAAACGTCGAAGAAACAACAAAACTTTTACAAAAACAACTGAAACAAATGAAATTAAACATCCGTCATACAACTCTCTTAGTGAAACAAAAGTTTTTAGTAATGATCAAATATCTATGAAAGTTGAACATTGTATTAAAGAAGAACCTCTGTACATCAATTTTAATGAACAAAACATTAATGAAATAGAAGTAGAAACATTTTCTACAGATAATTTACAAAATACAATTAATAGTCACAATTTGGTAAAAATAGAAGAAACATTAAAAAGTTCTGTTCCAAAATATCAAGACAATAATAAATCCACTATGTTAACTATGGAAAAAAATAATATTAAACAAACCTCTTACAATTCCTTTAGAGAACCAAAAGATTTTGATAATAATCAAATATCTGTGAAAGTTGAACCATATATTAAAGAAGAATCTGTTGATATCTATAATAATATTGAACAATATTTCGGTGAAATAGTTACAGAAAATCATCATAATGTAGATGAAGCAAAGCATGATGTTAGTTCAAATTATATCTATGATACTAATTTAAATTATACAAATATTAAAACCCAAGAATTTGGTGTTATAAAAAAAGAGAACATAGTTCCTATTACAGCTTGCTTAAAAAATAATGAAAGCAGTTCTCAGACTTGTGTGATTAAAAGTGAACCAAATTTAGAAACTGAAAAAAAGAAAATTTCATGGGAAGAGTTTAGAGCTAAAAGAGCAAAAATAGGTTTTATGAACACTCCAGGTAAAATTTGATTAAATTAATATGTATATAATTTCATAACTTAAAAAATATTGTACATTTTTGTAGAAAATGATGAGAAATTTTCTGATATATATGATGGGAAAACTGAAGCCATAATAAAGGAGTTTAACCGGACTACAGCTGAACACTTTGATGGTCAAATAAGAAAACTTGAAGTTAAAGAAGGACAGAATCCTATTAATTCTAAAGATAATAGCAGTGAAGAAGATGAAGAATTGCAAAAAAAGCGAATGAAAATTGAGTACATTAAAAAACTTCTACCATCTTCTTTTGGTAAATTCAATATAATTTTGTGATGCATACTATTATTTTAATGTAATTTAATAATTATATTTTAAATTATTTTCTTTTTTTAGCATCGGAAATTGCAAAAACCTCAAGTTTGATGAAGGGTAGCTCACAAGAAAACATAGGTAATATTATAATATTATGTAAATATTTTAGGATTATTTGGAATACCATTTTTTTATATTAGGGAATTTTTGTTCTATTCAGTTGGGAATTGATTAGCCAGGAAAATTTTCAAATAACATAAATCCCCATTTATATTCTCTACATAAAAAAAAAAAAAATTGTTTACTTCTAATAAAATTGTATATAATTAGATAATATTTATAGTTAATAGTCTTTAGTGTGATTCTAAGGATTTTAAGTGAGTTACTTTTTTTTTTTTTAACCATTATGAAATTGTTTAAGCTTTATCACAACACTATTTTCAATTAATTCCTTATTCCATGTCTCTAAAATGAGTATACATTCTAGGTTTTTAAAAAACAGTTTAACTGGAGAAGTAGACAAGGAGTGTGCAATTATTGTTTAAAAATTTACCACCCTTAATTGTTCCTCTGGTCTAAATTTTGAACTGTTTTTTTAGAAAAATATCTTCTTTTCAATCTGTATTAATCATTAACAGTAAATACAAAATTAGTTAAACACATTAAAATTGTTAGAATAATATTCTTTATTTAAATGTGATTAAAATAGAAGTTCCTAATTAAAAATAGTTTTTAAATAAATTTTTAATCAATTCTATAATAGTTGAAAAAAAATTATAGAATTCAAATTCACTTAAAATCCTCCAGGAAAAATTGCTGGTTCATAATAAGTGGATCACTATAGAACTAGGAAAGTATTGCTTTAATATTTAAATTCTGTGTATGAGTATAAAATACCCTTAGATAATTATTATTATTAATTAAACATGTTTTTGTTTAGTATTGAGATTAAATATTTTGAAAAATTGACAATATTTTTCTGTAGTTATAAAATTGGAATACTTTAATGTCAACATGTCTTTAAAAGTTCTAACTAACAAATGTATTAATTACTAAAATAGAAAATTTCGAGATTATATTTTTTTATCAAATCAAATTTTGGTAATACCAAGTTTACCGGTATTATTATTATATCAAAGAAATATTTTATTTTTTTACAGAGAATGAAAATACTTTAAGTGATTCGAACATGTCTAACGACAAAACCCAAGGAAAATACATACATGAAGAGTATTTAAAAAAAGATGATAAGTCTCAAAAAAAAGGTCATCAGACCAGAGTCCATACGTCTCATCGCATTTCGTCATCGAGGTTAGAATAATTTTACATACACAATGAGTATAATAGATATTGATATTTAATTTAATTTTAAGAGCTGACTATTGTAATAAAACTAATCGATCATCAAACTCTGATGATTATTATAATCGCAACAGAATTGATAGTCCACGTGAAGGTGGGCCATATGGTCAAAATATACGAAATAATGGTCCAAGGTAATACAAATTTAAAATTGTAGAATTATTTCATTATGAAGTATATGTGTCATACATTTTGTTACTGTAAATTACAAAAACATAGGTTGAAAGAACAGAAAAGAGTGGTTTATGTTGGGCAGATACCTATCAAATTTGGAAAGCGTTATCTATACAATCGTTTTAAGGAATTTGGTGTAATACAATGTCTTACACTACATAGAAAACCTGAGTATAAATACTACTTTATTTTTATATTGTTTGTAATTAACTTCATACAAAATATTATTTCTGTTTAGCTTCCGTGTTTATTATGCATTTGTTACATATTCCGAAAGATCAGAAGCTGAACGTGCTATAAATCATGGAAATGATGATGCTAATCAAGTCCAGTTGGATATTAGATTTGGTGAACGGAAACAAACTCAAACTCCATATTACGATTTAGGTAATTAACACATTTAAAATGATATAATTAAAATTAAAATTAGCTTCAAAATAGAGATAATCATTAAATTATTTAGACGATGAATGGTTAACTGATTGGTACACATACGCAAGCAAGTTGGCAGCTGTGAGGTCACCTATTCCTGGAAATGCTGAACACTCTTTTGAAGAAGAATTGAAAGAATTCTACAACCTAGCTCAAATGAAAAAATTAAATGAAATTAAGTCATCCTCTCAAGTCTCTTGACATAAGTTTTTATTTTATTTCATCTTATTAGTGTTGAAATAAAAATGAAATACACCATTGTTATCATTTTTTTTTCTCTTTTTAAGTTTTTTTTTTATTTAATAAAGTATAAACCTTTTAAAAATAATCTTATTACACATAATATTAAAGTGTACGATTAAAAATGATTTGGTTAATTAAGTTGTTTTTATTTCTTGTTCATCTTTAACAATTTTAGCCACTTTTCTATATTCTATTGTATTTGTTTTTGTACACTGCATTTCAGTCCAACTTATTGGAACCATTGAGTAACCTGAAAATTAAATAATAAGTAAAATAAGTTACAAAATTAGAATAAATATTCTAATAGATTTTACCATATTCACTGCATGCTATAACTACACCAAGTTCATTTTCAGCAGTTGTCAATTTAAAGGTATGAGCTTCAGTCATTGGCAACTGAAAAATCAAAAGTAATATAATATCAATTATTTCTCTGTTATCAAAATATAAGGTACAAGTCTAGTTGACTGAAAAAGTATTCTCCAACTAGTAGAGTTAAGTTGACGCCCGCCATCTCTAAATTTTGTATTTATTATTTTTAATTTAAATTTAACTTATAAATAACCTATAATTACATATAACCTTTAATTACAGTCCATAAATTGTAAATAAAATGGTTATTACATCGAAAATACGAGATATAAATGGCAGGACAATACATTCTTGATGAGAGTCAATTAGACCAGTACCAAATATAGTTGCTAAACTAGTTGCTCACAATTTTGGCTAAAATTATATCTCCTGGCCTAAAACACAATAACATATCAATTTTATCTATTTCTTTTGTGCGTACATCTTGTCTTCTTAAACTGCTTCTGTATGTTTCATTCAGCTCATGTCCACAAACAGTGGTAATTAGACATTTACACATATCTTGGTTTATTGTTGTGACCTGATAGAAGTAGTAAATGATTAGGTTAATTACTACAAAATTTGGATTAAACTAATTTTAACTAATTTTTAATATTTTAATATAATACCATCGCTGTTACAACATCTCCTGGTGAAGGAACAACCGTCTGATCTTTACTTTGAATGTTTACAACAGATATCTAAATAAAATAATATTCAATTGTAATACCATTACTTATTGAACTCAGAATAAAACGAATTGTAACTTGTTTACCTTGTTTGTATCATCTACATTCACAATTCCGGCTACACTGGAATAAATATAATCTTGTCTTTGATACGTTCCTTTGCCTACAGTATGCGTTGCATCTAAACGACAAAGTCTTTGTCCTACATACAATAAATAATATGCAATATTCAAAAAAGTTAAATTAAATTATTTTTCTATATTTTAAATGTTAATTGATTGTGTAGAAACTATTTATGAACAATTAATTAATAACTAATGCAAACTATGTTGATAAAACTATCTTAATTTTGAACAGTTTTTCTTCAGCAACTAAACTATCTATTCAAATATGATAACTTAAACTTATAGTATGGTTATTGTTGACAATTAGTGCTGTACCAGTGCCCCCCAATAATTTGTATTATAGCAAACATTTAACCAAAACTACAAAATTGTACTTGTATGTATATTAAATTTAAACGTATTATGTTCTAATGATTGTTTACAAATAACAACACATAATAACACATGCCACATTCTATGTGTTTATATGGTATCTATCTAATCAAAATGTGCTATATAACTAGTGTCATGGGCTATTTCAATTGTGCTTCTTTAAAGGTGAATTACAATAGGATTTATTGGAAGTAAATTTCATTTTTGACATTAAGATATTACAATATAGTATTTAAAGCGATGTGGCATAGGAATACCAACATGGTCTTGTGGAAATAATCCAGATACAAACGTGTTTGCTCTATAAGGTCATAATAATAAAGAAAGATAATATAATTTGTGTATAAAAATTGGAATACCAACAGTACAAGTAAAACAAAGTTACGATGGAAAAGTTACAGAATGCATAACTCTATAACGGATTGATGAGAAATAAATCTAGTGAAAGAAGTTTAGAACTATAAACGATTTAGTTGGAAAGTGAGGATTCATAATTTTCCTATATTGTGTATAAGTGCATAACCAGGAATACACCACTTTTTAGGTAGGCATCAAATAGAAAAACCTCAATGAAATTAAAGTGAACTATATAGACTAATCGTCATGTACAATAATTCAATTGCATTGAAAACTTACCGGGTACGCAAATTATTTGGTTTTCCATTGTAGGTACGTAATCCGTGTGTAAATGTATAATAGAAATTGAAATGTTTTTTACTCCTTAGATGATAGTACAATATTATTGTTGATGTTTATCCGTGCCTGTTTATTATCACTTATCTATGGCTAAATATTATACAGGTGTGATCACCACTCAATGGTGTGATTACAGCTTTGTGATACGCGGGTGTCATGGTCGCCCCCAGAGTAATTACCATAGACAAATTAATATGTATTATTTATTATCTATATCTGTACTATCCTGTTTTGTTCGTTAGTTCGTTTTAACAAAAGCAATAATCCAAGACCGTGACAAAAAGCATCGAGATAGATAAGGATACTTATTCTCATCTATATCGATGATAAAAAGTGAACACTTTTTTTTTTTTTTCACTGTAATGCAGATTCGACATCTGCACATTTGACGATATGGCTGCTGTGAGTAATGCGTTTCTTATCAAAAATGTAGTAAAAATTGTACATTTTGTTTAAACGAACAAACAATGTTGTTTATAATCTCAGATTTCTTAGTCAATGTTCGTATGTGTTTATAGTTGGCGAGTTGCCTGGACGGCTGTTTGAATCACGACCAAAGTGGTATAGCCGTCTTTGATAACAGAATTTGACTAATTTGGTCACTGCTCTCAGAGGCGACGCGAAAATCGAATAAACGGCGGGAAATCGTTATCGTTGCTCGTTATCTTTTCTCTTATGCTCATTTTTTAACCTCTCAGCGGGCGCGTATGCGCATTTTGTACGACAATTATAGATTTATTGACATAACATTTATCTACGTATCCCGATTAATACTGGAATTTTTCCTATTCCACAATGACGTACATGTTATAAACACTTAATAATTGTTATCTAATCTTACGTATTTTTCAAATTATTATTGATGTATATTTCAGTCAACTCCGTCCGATTGCATGTAATACGTCTCGCGCCTGGTCGTAATAATATTATTTTATTTTCATACAAATATTTTTTTTTAAATTTATTTTCGTGTATTGCTTTTTTCACCTCATTATGGGCGATATTGCGCGTATGTTACAAGAATTATCAGACGAAGAAGTAGGAGATGATTTTGAAGATTTTGATAGTGACAGTGATCTTAGTGACGAAAATATTGTTTACGATAATTTTGACAGTGATTCGGAACAGAATATTTCGGATGAAGAAGTAGAAGCAATGTACACAGATGAACTGTACTATACCGGAAAAGATAAGGTTAGTAAATGGCGTAAAACTGAATTCACCCAGCACTCAAAAACTAAAAAACATGATATAATAAAAACTTCCTCCGGTCTCACCTCTCGTTCTAAAAATATTGAAAGTAAAAATATTTCTATTAAAAATTATTTATTTATCCTTCATTTTAATTAAATATATATGAAAAGCATTCTGTCGTATAAAGTACGACACGCGCCTGCTCGTGTAATACACAGTGGCGCGCCTGCCAAAAGGTTAAGAGCGTTATTTTTTGTTGTTAAATGCAGACTGTATCGTTCGACACCTTCGAAATTGTATGATAAATTACCATTACTACAGCTGTGGTGAACAATTTGTTTTTCAGTTTTTAAGTGACAACAATGGTACGTGTGCATAACAATTTAAAAAATCTGTGCTCCAAACCATTAACCATCAGTAGTGTATGACGGTAAATATTTTAATAGTAAAATTGTTTTCATAAAGCACAGGGTTTACACTAATTATTGAGCTGAAAAAATAGACGTTTTCATTAGACGCACGAACAATATCGAAGTCTCTCAAGGCGTCCTTTGAAATCAAATATTGTATACTCCGCGGACATTAATTCCACCTTGTTTTTTTCGTCCACGGCGGTTCTTGAGTAGATGGCAGGTGCCCAATGTTTTATAACGTTTGCATTTGAACACGTAAAATAACTGTGCATTTTAATATCTCATCAACGACCGGCTGTCCGCGATCCTGTTCGACAGCTTGGCCGAGTTTGCGACGGCCAAGGTAAATAATGGCTGTTCGTGCAACGCACTGTTCCACGCGGCCGGATGGTTCGGACAACCGCAATAACGCAATTGACACCACTTTGGCCGATTAGGCAACGCGCCTGGTGTTCGCATCAATCATTTTGCCGAGTCATAAATTACGCGTTAACATTGTCAATTATTTTGACATTTATATTGTATCGCATTATGAATGATCAAACGCGCGTATTATTAACATCGTCAAGTCTATATGGGTACTCACTGTTGCGTTAGTTTCGTTTACGGAAGGTTTCGATGTTTGAGTTTTGTCACCGTTTCATTACGAAATGTTTTTTTGTTCGATAAAAAGTTTTCTCAGTGATTGCAGATACTTGTCCATGTATTTTTGGCAAGAGGCGTTATCACGTAACAATAATAGCAATAACACGCAATAATCGTAATCAACATCGATAGTATGGTTAGAAAATAAAAACGTCTCGGATATTAATGATAATCCACAGAATTTTTTGTGATACATTTTAGGATTTAAAAATGTACAGTTGGCATCGCTGATACTACCTTAAAATAAATAAAATCAATGCACAATTACGTTTGCGATATAAAAGAAAATTGTGTATTTTATATTCTCATCTCATATACCTACTATTATTTATTAATTTAAAAGAAAAACAAAAAACACATTCTATGTATTAGAATTAGGCGAAAAATCTATTTGGAAAGATAATAATGCTGTAAAGAAAAAAAAAAATTTAATAGAGGTTTTTATAGCAGAACATTGCAAGACAAATAATACATAGACTTTAATGTATCTAATGTAAGTAATATATTTTTTTTTTACTGATAATTGTTCTATTTTCATTACTGAGATTATATCTATTTTTATTGTGATTATTTAAAAAAACTGAAATTATAGTCAAGATGTTCAAGTTAAAAATAGTATCGAGGTTTGTGACGAAGAAAAAGAAACACAAGGTAATATCATACAACAATAATTAAATTGATAAATCATAAATAGTATTTTATGAACTTTATTCAAATTTTAAGTATAATATAATCAATGTACGAGATAATTAAGTATGTAAAATGGAAAAATCAATATAATAAAAATTGTTTGGTAATAGGTAAATAGTTATACACAAATAAAAAAAAAAAAAAAAAAATAAATAAATCACATTTTAAGTATTACAAATCAGTTAATCTAAGTAATCGGGTAAATAATATTCATCGTTTTTTAATTATTATACAAAGTGTCCTAACATCCATACCTAACTATTTGGTTAAAAACAAAATAAATAATACAAATGTCTTAATTTTGCAGCCAGATTAAGACCACACCAGCAAAACCAAGACCGAGATCAAAACAAGTCCAATACCTTAAGATTCTTTCAGTCTTACTACTTTTTTATTATTATTATTATTTTCTTAAACTACTATTATTACAAATATCTTTATTTTTGAATGACGTTTAGGGTAAGACCAAATATTGGAAACCAGATAAGACTGTGCAATATTTATTTTAGTACCTAGTGAACTATCTGAACAACTTGGATAATCCCACACCACGTTGTCCTGGCGACGATCAAGGAGAAAAAAGTTTAGGATTCAATTATTCAAAAACGCAATATTAGCAACAATATTTATTTACACCATCGATCACATGTGTCTAAAAACTTATATTATAAGATCATATTTAAAATAGGGTTTTATTATGATGGGTATCATTTTATTGCATCTAGGTTCGGCGTAAAATAACATGGATCAATTTAAATCACATTTATATTTTCATCTTGTAGAGTTATCTCATTTTTGAGATGATAAATAGAATACTAACCCTTATAGGTATCAGGCATTTAATTTTTTTTATGAACCTTGTAAATAAAGCAAGACTGTAAGATTTCCGTACAAAGAACTTGACCAACCGTTTGCGGCGACGACAAATAACGTTGACGGGCATTCACGACTCACGTTGGTATTTTCTTGTACGCTCTTTATTTATCAAGAACTTTCAAGAGTGTTATCGCCCCTGTTATATACCGAGGGCACTAGTCGTCTAATAGTTATAGTTCACCCATTTTTATCTACACCGCGTACGGCTATCGTTCCTTTATTGTTGGGAGTGGCAGTGGATGCTGTAATAGAAAGAAATAAACATGAAGATATTTAAGACTGTTTAAATTATTTTTGTTATTAAGTATGTTTTGATGGCTATGGTATTGGAATACCGCTGAACACACAAACGAAGCAAAATAGCACTTAAACGGTATTGAAATAGCGACTAACACACAACAAATGCAAAATAACACATAAACTTCACAACACATGCAACATAAACTTTTGTATATAGCTTCGTGGTTTTCTGAAACAAATTTATGGCACACATAGGTATCTCTATGAGCATTAAAAAAAAATATATATGCAAATGCTACACAAGTTATGAGCCCTGCTAATAAATAATAACACATGTACTCGTATGGCAACAATGGTCGTACGTGGTGTAGTTAAAACGCTGTAGATAATTCTGCAGCGTTCTTAATGAATATGAAACGTACGAGAAATACGCGAAAAATTGACTGTTTGTGTATTGGTCTTGGTTTTGATCACTACTAGTAAAATACGACGAATAATATTTAATCAGTCCGGGAAAATGTTATAAATTATGGTAAATAGTTGGACGAAATCGATGATCTTCTAACCATTAACAAATCATAATATTTTTGGCCTTTCTATTTTTGTAGAGTCGTACTTGTAAAATCAATGCTTGGTAACGATCAAAATGTTTGTTAATTTCAGTTCAGAACCGTCGTTAAATATAACTGGATGTTATTTTATGATAATCCCAATTATGCAGTGTTGAATTTTACAATATATTCCCATGATAAAATGCGACAATATTCAAAAATAATACCAGCTGATCATATTGCATAAAATATTAATAATGTCTCGGAGCCGACGCGTTTTTGTACACAAATTTGCTTCACTTTCGAGAATAAATTGATTTGGGTATTTTTTATTGGTGATTTGAAAAAAAGAAAAAACTTCTTACAAACAGCGTTGGTCTTGAATTTTGAAAATGTACATTTAAGAATTTATATTGCTAAATGTCTTCTTCTCTTTTGCTTTCACCCAACTACACGTTTTTGGGATCGGTCAACTTCGTTCTAAAATTTCACTCGTCTTGATCTCCAACCGGCTGTTCTATATTATGTCCAACCACATCTTTTTGATTTTCCTTGCCACATTTTCTCCTACGTTTATTTTTATTGCAATTCTTGCTGCTTCAGATTTTTCGCGTCTCGTGACATGCCCGAACAACCTAAAAGTTAAGTTGGTTTAAACGCCTGAATAATTTAAAATACGTTACCTATACGTTCAATACGTCTTATACGTCCTTAAAGTCTAATACGATTTGTAAAACTGAATCTTGTTCTTTTTCACAAAATATATTTTGAAATCAGACCACTTGTCAATACATACGAGTTCTTCCTATGAACCGTATTTTTAACATAAACTCACGCATTGACACACTAATGTGATTCGATATAATGTTTAAATAAAATTGCTTATATTTTACTACTACTAAAAATATATCTCGTCATTTATCTCTTTCGTTCAAATTTCTTAAGTCCTGTTTGGTCGCGTAACTCTTCCCAGCCTTTCACAAATATCTTTCCCTGTATTTTACAATTTTATTCATTATAGTATTTATTCTAGTGCTGCTTTGACGGAGTGTCAGTTTCCTCTTTTCTCTTCACTCATATGGCCGCCTAGCTATTGTCTTTGCTCTTTAAAATAACTGTTTATTGGGGTGTTATGCAAATTATGAATGCAAGCATTTGTATTATTATAGCTATGTATAGTCTTACTTAAGTTTTCCTAAAGAATAGTTTGAATTAAAAGTATTTTGTTAACGCAAAATTTACTTTTCGGTCTTATCTATTTTTTTAGTCCAGTCATTTTCCGCGCATATCGTACCAAAGTATACACTAAGAGTATATTACTCGAGTACATTGAATTCATGGACTTTTTCGTGTATTAGCCCTTTCAATTTTTAGAATATTCACTGCTTTTAAGTTGCCCCTTATTTTGGTTTTATCAGCATTAATTTTTAATCATTATTTTCTTTATTTAAATAACTGAAAAATGTAAACTGAATGCAGTTAACGTGCACTTCTGATTTCTTCTCCTCCTTTTTCTTCATCTGGTCTTCAATATTTCGATTGGTTTATTACAGTCTTTCATGCTTTTCTATCAAAATTCAAATCCTTCTGCTCTCGATAATTTTTCATTACCGTGTAATTGAGAATTAGCGGTATACATTCCATACGCGGCCTTCCTCTTCCAATTTTACCTTTTATTTAATATCGAATAATAAACTACAATACATTTTCATGATTCCTGGTTTAGTATCTAATTAAAATATTACGATTCAAATTTGCCTTAATTCTTCTTAAAACTTTTTCAATTATTATTCTGTCAAACCATGAAATCTTAAGTTTCTTACAGTGAAATCATATTTCAAATTCTTCTATCATTCTCTTCTAGATTGTGCTTACTATCCAGGTTTCGCAGCTGTATAACTATGCATACACTATATATGTATAACTTTAAAAAGTTATGTCTAGTAATGAGTCCAATGTGGTTCGTAATTTGTATACCCGGAAAATCATTTTTCCCTTGTGCAATATTACTTATATGCCTCACTTGACTCGACAGAACGTGTAAATAAAATTACTTATATTTTACTCTTTATATTAAAATAAATTATCGAGAAATGTAAACTTAATGCAGTCTTCCAAATTTCCACACAACAACAACTACACCCACTTAGTTACACGCATTTTTAATGATATGAACTTAAAATAAGCTGATTAAAAAATAAGACAATATTTTTAATCGACCTACAAAATTATGGTAAGTTTATAGGACACTTCGTACAATAGTTATGTATAATAATAATAGTAGTAAAAAGCAACAAAATAATAAACACAATAATACACAATAATACAATGATAAATTATCATATGTTTTATTTACAATATATATTTTCACAAATAAAATAATATAATGTCCTGTACAATAATTATCTATAATATAATATAATTATTTTAAATGTTGGCGCAAAACTAAAGGTTTTATAACAAAGAAAAAAACGAACCAAGCTGGTGTAATAGTAGCCTGAATGATAGGTAGGTAGCCGTTCTAAAGTCAGTCCCACACAATTGTAGTATTTGGCTAATGTTGATCATCGATAGCATTTGTTGGTCATTGGCCGTTTTCCATCAACTGCCAGTAATTCGTGCTCAATGTGTATCATTGGCCGTTTTCACGCGAATTGAATGACAAATATCTAGCCACTATTTAGTACAGAAATGAATATCGTTGAAAATGTTTTAAAAAATGTACGAGTCGTGTTGGAGGTATGAGTATATGATTAAATCAGGCCAATATTTTCCTACGCATTGGCCTGCAAATATACTAACCGTATGGGACCGGTTTAATAAAAGTAAAATCTTGTGATAATAAATAGGTATGAAAAGAAGAAGAAAAAAAAAGCTCATAATATTATTTCATATTTTGTACGTTATTAATTCATCTACTAAATAAGTGTGTTTATTTTTAATAATATTTAATTGCCGAAAATTTATATATATATATATATATATATATTAAAAATAAAAAAGTAAAAAATAAAGTACATTTTAGGTAGTCTAAAAAATGTTTTAACAGAATCGACGAATATTGCCGACATTATATTACATATTATTATTAGCGATTGACCGATTTTTGGTCCCCGAAATAATATTATACAATAACATTGCAGTAGGTATAACGATAACTGATAAGTATTCATACGCCGCAACATAAATATACGTCAAACGAATATGGGAATAATTATTTTGAATTGAAAAACAAAAGTCAAAATCTAATCAGGTCGTTGGTAAAAACTAATATTAAATAAGAAAAAATTGCTCTAAGTTTGGCTAGTGATAATGGCGGCTTGAAAGAGTTATATTTGAATCGCGTGATTCACGAAATACGGATGCCTGGGTATTTAGAAATATAACAAAAATTCTAATGTTTTTACAAAAAAAAAAAAGTCATTAAAAGTATTTTAGACTGCGGAAATTCGATAAATTTTACGAATTTTATTGAAATTTAACAAATGTCAATACATGTATATGATAGGGTGGAAAATTAAATCGGTGATTCAAGGTAAAAATACTTAGAGTCACCACTGGGTAAAATTACCACGTAGTATTATTCAGTAAGGCATATGTATATTTATTTACTATTAACGATTACGTCTAGTTCTATTATTTTTAAACGGTCTCTCAAACCGCGGAATCGAGGAGTAAAATATTATTTTTATTTTTGGTTATTTGGTGGAGATGGGTCAAGGATGCAGAGACAGAACATAATATTTACCGAATTGAAAACTTTTGTTTATCGTTAAAGCATAAATTATTTTTCTAATGGATAATAATTGTGAGACCCAAAAATAATTGCAGTTTTGCATTTTACAATACATAATATAATTAATTTAACCCTGGTTGTAAAAAAAAAAAAAATAATTAATAATAATAATAATAATAATATTCGATAATATAATTTATTATATTGACGTCAGTCTTTTGCGCAGACGAATCTGTTTTTTTTTTTAAGTTTTTTTAAATTTTTTAATCTATAAACGTTTTAAATTATCGACTCTTTATTTCGTTCGTTGTCGTCACAACTACTATCTGCACTGCTTCCGATGTCTTTACAAATCTGCAACTCGATTTCGGCGAGCCTATGGTCCATATCCCACCGTTGTTGAGTGACTTTTTTGTTGAGATACAAATTTTCCGTTTCCACGGCTATCAGACGTTCCTGGAGCCTATTAATTTCTGCTTTTAATGCGGACACCATGGAAGGATCCGCAACTACGCCTATAATAAAATTCATAAATCAAAAATTATAATTTTATTTATTAAACGATAAAAAAACCGATAAAATGTGATTCACCAGAAGCGATCGCTGGAGTTTTTTGAGCATCTTGAGCATTATGATGGTGGTGTTCTTGATCTAGAGAATGTTTACTGGACAAGGGTGTTTCTAGAGTTGCCGCGGCATTCGACCTATAGCGTATAAACAATATGTAGGTATATTCAATTGTCTTCATTTTATGATTTATATCCTAGTGTCAGGGAAAATATAGATCAGCTAAAGTTCTATAAATCTAGATTTTTGGATTTTGAAACTATAATTTTGGATTCTTTTATGAATTTTTTAATTATAAAATCTCTATAATTATATAGGTAACTAAAATTGTTTTAAAAAACAAAATGTATTTATGTAATTAAAGAACTAATTATAATCAATATTGTATTAAGATAAATGTTAAGATATTTAGATAAAGCTAAATAATCAGGAACTTTTTACCTAGATAAAATTGATAATGTTGTTTATTACCTAATACAGCTATATTGTAAAACTAATAAAAGTGTACCTGATTTGATACACATATAGATTACATAAAGGTTATACGATTAATATAACTTATTAATTAATTGCTTAAATTATATTTATATAAATTAAATGTTTTATCTCTTGTAAAAAAGTAAATAGGTACCTTTAAATATGTACGATTTAAAAAGATATATGTAGATTAAATAGATTGATTTAATGGTATATTTATGTTAGCGGTGTAGATTACATATTTTTTATTTATCTAGATAAGATGAAAGATAAATAATATATCTATCTAGGTATTCATAACACAATACTGATCAGAATTAGAAGTGAATTAAATAGAAAATAAAAATAAAAAACAAACAATCTACACATTTTCTTTTGTATTTAAAAAACAGAAACCTGAATTTTTAATTTTTAATTTCAAATCTCAGATTTCAGAAGAACTCGGATTAATTGGTCCAGAAGTAGATATAATAGATATATTATTTTATAGATTTTTAGTGTAGTGAAGAATGTATTGGTTTTACTGAGATTTTTTTTTTTATATTGTGACAAAAATTTCTACCAACAATCTTGCCCTGATATGTGCGTATGGCACCATTTTCGAAAAGAAATATTGTCTTGATGGTACTTTAGGAGATCATTTTTTGATTGTCCAAGTGGTTTTCATAATATCTAGGAAAACGTAAGAAAAACGGGAAACTTACGAAAATATTGGTGGTACTCTATAGATAAAACTGTTAGACAACACAGAAATGTTTGCAAATTGAACAGTATGTTAGATAATAATTCGTACTTTACGGTCAAAACAAAAAAATTAATTTAATGTAGTTTATTTTTTCTTACAAGAATTTTAATATCAAATTTTGACGAAAATTGTTTTAGTAAAAAATTACGTGGAACAAATCTAGTTACTAGTCCATACAAATTATTTTAATATAATATTTATTTTACTGTAATATGTCATATTGTTGAAAAAGCATTACTATTAATTGAGCTCTGCTCAGAATAGTTTTTCATTAGTAATAATTAATTTTTGCTTAGATACCTATGTACATTAAATTTCTCTCTATATCCTACCTTCCCAACTTCTCATCTATAATAGTGGTCCACTCATCGTGCGGAGTATAAACGAATTTTTTTCTTATCAATCATTAATATTAAATTTATTTATTTCGCCCCTTCCCTCCTATAGTCCAGGTCTGGAGACACCCCTGTTCTATAAAGGCAATAATATATTGTGTTAAATTAAGTAAGTTTATCTAAAGTTTCAAATTTTAATAGATTGTAGGAACGAGAAATAAAACTCGGTAAAAGCGTAAAACCGTGAATCAGCGAATATTATATCAAATCCCTGTGTTTTATTACAAGACTAATAGAAAAATATTTGAACGAAGGAAATATTCATGTTTTATACGTGTCGCATTACACTTAAAGTGATCACATTACAATATTATTCAAGTTAAAAAAAAAAAATGATGAACCTATTTCTATGATAAGATATGATATGGATAGGTTAGATATAGTTAAAATGTTGATAGAAACGTTGAAAAAAAAAAAAAAACGATTCTACGTAGAACTCGGTTGGCGGTTGTAAATGTATGCCATTTGTGACAAATAATTGTTTTAATTGAATTAATGATTAATATATAATCAGCATATTATTTCCTTGATGTAAATCAGAGAATCCATAAATCAATGTAAATGCTTTCTCGCTCCATTAAGAATCTAAAATATGTGTAGGTGTAACAGCTACTCCTAATTTAACCTACACTGTAGCTATAAATAATATGACTGATCAACAATTATTTTATAAACCGAAAAATTGTAAACGGAAACTGAGGTCTTTCGGGTATTTTATTTATTCTCCTGCGGATACGCTACACTATGTATACTCGAGTCGCAATGTACCTAAAACTAGGACTCGTGGTAGGACTGAAAGAAGACCTGTTATTGATGCTTTGGTTGAACGTAGCCACTGGTCTCAATAAAGCTTCGTTGGACTGCATCCACATTTCGTCTTCCATCTTTATTTGACTCTCTACGATACCGGGGGTTGACTTACACCGTCTCCCAACTAGCCCTAAATTATATATAAAAAAAAACACGGAGTTTAATAATATTATATTAATCAAATACACGACCCACGCGTATAAGAGGTAGTCTAGGAGTAGTGGCTATAGGATGGATGAGTTACAAGAGTAACTGGAATAACGATGATGAACAAGTAGGAAAAAAAGAAGAAATCTGGACTAAACACACCTTCTAGTTTATCGTCCGGGCCTGGATCGGTTTTGTACTTTTCCAGCCGTTTGGTCGCTATTGCCTCAAGTCTGATTCTCGCGGTTGGGTATTCCTTAAGCACGTCCCACATGTCTTTTTTCGACAACACAA